ACGATTTAAGAATGTCTGTAAAAAGTCCATATAAAATTATCTCCTTAACACAAAAATTGAATTTGATAGGAGTTTGTATTAAACATTTTAAATTTTTAAAAAATGTATATCAATTATAATTTCAATAATCTATTGCTAAGTTTTGTATAACGAGTGATGATGAGAAGAGTAGTCCCAGAGTGCGCGCCTGTTGCATCATTTTTAAAACTTATGTACACATATTATGTGTATTTTTGAATATGTTTCACTATATGAGTAAAAATCCGGAAATTTTCGAACGGATTAAACTCGATAAGCGAGGTTCCATTGTATTTCAGAAATTAACGTATATTATAATGACTGCATCAAGTAATAAATTAATACACTTTTTCCACTAGCCGGATTTAAGTATGTTCAAAAGATTCCATTTAAAGTTATCTGCAGAACAACTAAATAAGTTTGATATAAGTTTCACAAACAAATGTTCAAGATACAAAATTTAACATAGTACATAGTCCGACTTCAATCATTCCGGATTCACTATAGTGATCTAAATTTGAATTAATCAAAATGAAATTACTACACAATATTATTTTTTATATATTTTTACTTTATACAGTCAAGTCTTTAAATTTTATGTTTTGTAAAGTATTGAATTCTTGATTGATCCAGTTTCAATCATAATTTCAATAATCTATGGAATTTGTATTTGAGAAAATAAGTTATATTTAAAGATGAGCAATTAAATGTTTTTACGTTATAAATTACTGCATGAAATAAATAAATTCTTCCACATACAAAATAACTTTGAAGGAATTAAAGGAATTCATTTTCTGATAACTTCTTCGAAATGTCTGCCTGATAGCGGGATGCTATTTTATCTTAAAACGCATTCGGCTTTGACGGTTTAGTATACAAAATATGCACATCCATATAAACATCAACAAATTTATATTTTAGAATTTTAAATAAATGCTAAATTTCCGATAAAATTTTATTTTTTGCAGCATTCAATAAAATGAATTTCGTATATAAACGATATATCAAATATTGTCATTAAAAAAAATTAATTAGAAATGATTTTTCATTTTAAGATTGTTTATTTTTACGTTTTTTTTTTTCTAAATAAATTACTTTTCTAAATCTAAGCAAAGATTTTGCAATATTTTAGTGAGGAGATACGAAGAAAACCTGTTGAAACCGGATCATCTTATCTAATCCCGTCTAATATTGATATGGTTCATATAATATTTAAAATATGTCAATATGTAAATAAACATTGTTCTTATTTCAACCGAACACACAAAAAAATGTGCACAATAATCTCGTTCATTGATGCCGCAGAAGCTTTCGATTTGATAAATCTCGAACGGCAGAGATCGCGCGCGATTACGAGGAGCATCATCATTATTACTTTGTTAGTCAGAAATTATTGGAGTCAGCTATTTAATCTTACGATCAACGTGGATTCTGTCGTAACATTTATATGATTAATAATCGCAATCGGTGCGTTTCGAACACGTGGAAATCTTTTCAGTTTCAATATAATTACATAACGAATTCTCACGTATGCCAGTCAGTATGAGTCTAATTAAGATTAAAACTGAAATGCTCTAATTTCGTTACCAAAGTCCTAAAACGTGGTCTGATGAGCGCACGAAAGGAAAAATACTTTATCGAAAAAAAAAAGTAAGGTGACACTTTTCCCGTTGTTACTATGTACAGAATTTTTATTAATAGATTCATTCGATTGTATTATGTATTATTACCTGAGACTCTCTAATGCTGCTTAAGTCAATCTTGACTTAGATTTTATCTATCCTATTAATATAAAAAAAAATGTAACAGAAAAAGTAATGTATTTGCTTAATATAAACATTCGTTATTTGTATACTGTCAATTTTTAACTGGACTTTCAGGGCCGAAAGACACCGTATTCAATGCAGGAAATAGGATGGAAATAATTAAAATAAAGTTCTAGAATCAAATTATGGTTACAATCATAAGTGTCACTAATTGTTGAGAATAGAAGAAAAGAAACGTGCCAAAAAGGATGGAGACAAGAAATTATATCACCTAGCGAGTCTCAACCAAAAAAAAATATGGAAATCAGTTGCTTAGTACACGTAAAATTGACATCAAGGCTAATTATTAAATGTCTTATGTAAGGGCTATAATCTAGGGAAATGACCTGTCAAGGGGTTTGCTAATCAAAAGAAAGGTTGGGTACCGCTGACCTAGGAGATTTTATTACTCACTCATGTTGCGTTGTCGGGGCAAAGTACAAGTGTTGAACCAGACGGAATTACGAGGCACTTTTTTTGAGGCTCTCCTCTATCAGCTAAAAACCGTCTAGATCGTTGCTAAAACAAATTTTCGACAATACTTTTTATGCGATTTTATAACGAGCAAAATGAAATAATACAAAATTTATAACTACTTCCTTTATTTTAATTCCTTGGTCATTTCAAGCAGGAAGTACCAATCGTCCTTCCCTCTTCCAAAATTTCCTAACTTCCCAAAAAAAGGAGGACATCCTGATTGGCCTCGAAAGAAGATTAGTCCAGGTCAAAGTTTAAGATTTTTTTTTTATTCAAAAGTTGTATACATATTGGAGCGAAGAAATCAAAACAGTGGGACGAGCCTCCATGATCCTCATAAATCATAATATTTAAATATTTTGTGTATGTGTTATTCCACGAATTTTGATAATTTTATCGATTATTTCGATACCGTTACGTGATTTGCAGCTGCACAATTAAAAAAAGTAATGTGTTTGCAATGGATGGAAGGAATTTTGATAAAATGATTGGAGAAAATAATATTTGGATTCCTGAAGCTATTCAGAAATGTTTATTTCTCTCAAAATTATACAAATTCTTACCATGTCACGTTCATAATGAGTATATATCACCAATTACGAAATTTTTCGTATGAAAAGTTCAACAATTTTTATAAATTTATTTTATAAAATTTTGTGTACTCATTTTTTAAAATTTATTTTACTCAATAAAAATTTAGTTTCATTTGAAATATTCAAACCGGCCTGATTGAAACCGGACTATACGAGAATAAGAAAATTAAACAAAAAGAACAACGATAATTTTTAATGAAAAAAATGGAAACATTCTGGAACGTAATACAAAATTAAAGGTCATTTTTACACTTATGTAAGTAAGTAAATAATTATTATTCAATAGTCAGAAAACATTATCGTTTTGAAGAAACGTTAAAGTGGAAATTCCTATGGATCAAAGTACTATTTTTAATTAATAAGAGAAACTCGATAAGTTCGATTATATATTTGCAAAACCATAAACTTTAACAAGAATCGATGTCGTTTCGAGGAAAAAAAATTGTATTGTCAACAGGCGTTTCATGTATTTCGAATCATCTGTTCTTTTCAGCCAAAAACTGTAATGCCAATTAACTACAGCATATAAACTCTCCTACCGTTTTATTTGAGCAATAAAGCCCGATATATTGGTGCGATAATACCGGAATTCCATTCACATTACTGATACTAATAAAGTTTTATCATGCAATAAATGCATGTAGTATAAACATTAATAACATTCGATTTTTTTTTCTCGCAGTCCAATTTTCCACTTACTTACTGCTACTTAACGGATTATCACTGATAATAAACTTTGCTTTGCATACTAGTTGAACCTAGCCTTTTCTTTCTCTCCCCAAAACAAGCATTGCATCAAACTGAGAAGGAAATACGAGCTTGACATCAAAATCTTCACACATAGCTCCTCTCTGCGTCAAAAGTCAATTTAAATTTTTTCGAATTATCAGTTTCCTTATCCAAAGTAAAATTCAGCGAAAATAACGCATAACATATTTTTTTTTCCTTTCAAAAGAATAAGGAAGCCAACACGAATATTGAATTCGAATGCTGCAAATGCATGCACTCAATTCCTTTGGCATTCCTTAATTCACTTATCAATTCTTAAATTTTTTGAAAGGGAACTTTACTCGAATGCAAATCTAGGTTACTAAATTTCAGCGGAATGTCTGATCGATATTAGCGGTATGAAATTACGAAGCTGAACTCAATTATTAAATAAAGAAAAGTTATATTTTATAACGTTGAATAATTACGTAATTTAAAACTAGTATAGAATTATCATGGCATGTCATAGAAACAATCTTCAAGACATGATTTTTATTGAAGGATTTTTGAACATTTATATGATCCAAATTATACTGATTTCAAATATTTAAATAAATTCATTGTTGGATACGTCTTTAGTTTGTAAAGAGATTTAGTACATCTCTAAATTTAATACTTGATATTTAATATGTGTTGAATTTTCTAGAAACAATGAACAACTTTGTAATCATATCTGAGTTTAGTAGAACAAACTTTAGTTAAAATTGTAAAACATCAATTATCCGATAGATGGCAAATTTTATAATATTAATAAATAACATATGTTACCAAATACACTCAGTTTGAATTAATTTTATACTAATTTTCAGGGCTGTGGGGTGCTATGATGCAACATTACTGTGGTTACTACGATTTAGCTGTAATTCTCGTTCAAAGTTGAAAATTTACGCTCGAAACAGGAGTATATTTAACTTATTATTTCAATGAGATATACTCATATACATTCATCAAAATCTATAATGACATTGAGAATATGTGAAACAAAAAGAACAGTTTTGATCGTTTGTTTATAGAAAATGTTATGCAAATTAAAATAATTTTATGTTGCTGTCTGATACATATACGTAACTTCGAAATCTATATTGGTTCTAGTAATACGATTTACAACTTACCTGTATTTCTGAAGTATCTGGAACTTAATATAATTATTTTATTTGTAATCATTGAGAACATCTGCAGCAGTTGATATATGACATTTATTTTTTATTTTATGCATTACCATGGATACGAAAATTATATATAACAGATTCAACTTGTGTATATTAACTGAAATCGAGTAACATTTGGAATTAAACCTAAACATTAAATAATTAAGATAATAACTAAATAAAGTAATACTTATTAACATATAAATAATAGTGAGGGAAGCACATAATCTATACATATATATTAACATATTATTTACACGTGTGCTGGATTAAACAACGTTTTAGTCACAAATGATCCCAAATCGCAAAACGAAAATTAAGTACATCGCACGTATATTATAACTAAAACAATTGATTGATACGTGGTACGAGATTTTTCTCAGACAGTCAAACCACTTGCGAACGTTGTAAAGTGGTAAAAAAAAAAATACTAAAGTTTATCAGTCGGGCATCTCAATGGAAACTATGGGCAGCACGGGCTTGAACATATCAGCTTTCTTCAAATTCCTAGGATCGCTCTTGTCAGCCTGCTGCTGCATTTCCACGCCATTCGTCCTTCGTTCGCTGCTGTATGCAATGTTTGCGTATTCCTGCAGAAGTGGGCAAGCTCCAAGCACAAAAGAACAAAAGTCCTTGCGCATCCCGAACCACCCTGCATAAAACAATTAATTCTAGTCACATTGATTGAAAATCTTTAAACTTACATTTATTTCCTCCTTTGGCGCTGAACGACATTAAGATTAAAGTAACAAAAGATACAAACAATGGACTAACCACCGCTGTGAAACTCATCTTAATATCGTCGTCCAATTTGTTGGCTAAAAGTACCTGAAACAATCCAAATTTAATAACATCCACGGCCTTAAACGCTTAAACTCACTTGAAATATTAATATCGGTATGACCAAAAACGTGTATCCTACTGCAGTTTGGAAACTCGACCTTCTCTGTTGAGCATTTACTTCAGGTGTACGTAACAGTATACCGGCGAATATTATTGTATACAAAACTCCCACCTAAAATTACACATAAAATAATTATAACATTCGGTTAATTTGAGAATACAAATGCTTACTAAGGAAAGACACATGACAATCCATAGGGGAACCAGCACGACCTCCCAGCTCCAAGCAATGAAACCGTCCAGTCTTAGCGCAAGAAAAATGAATTGCAATACGTTGACAGCGCAGAACAGCTCCAGCTAATAGAAAAATAATGTTTTTTTTTAGTAGTAGAAATAAAATAATAATTAACATGAAAATTACCTCGAATGATCTGTCGTGTTTCACTGCCCATATGCACACAGCTATACTGACGATAGATATAAAAATTAATGGGATAAAAACTAAAATCCACAGATGTCTATTAGACTCCAATTTGTCGCATACCAGCAGTTCGAACATTAAGAGTATTAAATGCAATGCTAGCGATATCAGCATCGATTTGTAATGGATGTACGCTTCACCTTCCATTCTAAAAAAATAATTTAACTTTATAACAATTTCTTGTACTAATTGCAAATGTATAACATTACATTTTTTTTTTATAGATCTATAGTATGAGATATTTTACATTCAAATGATAAGCTCTTATATAGCAATTATGCTTAATTAGAATTTTGGTTTATGTATAAACATGAAATTCATATTGCAAGAAAACTTTGAACTTGATCAATTAATCACAAATGTTAGAGATTGATTAATTTGACCTTAAAAATTAATATAATTATTATTTTTGTTGAGAAAATAAATGGAGATATTTACATACTTTCTTAAATAATTAAGTTTTTTTTTTAATTTTCTGAAAAATGATCTTTTATCAAACAAAAAGAACATTTTCAAATGCAAAATATTGAATTGTAATTGTACTTGTTTTGTTGTAATTGTTCAAATAATAAATTGTTTACGTTCGTTATTGGTAATATTTCGTTAACGATAATACATCGCTATTTTAAAATAAGCATTTCTCGTCTTACGCAATTGAAATTTGTTTACAATACACAACAAAGCCTGTCACTGTAATCTATAACTATTATTTTTGATAGACGTAATTGAATATGAAATTAAAATTAATAGCTATAAATTAAATAACTAATGTGTACTATATAAAATTACCTGAAATGTGGATACCTCCACCACACATAGCTCCCGACAGCTGCTCCCAGGATCACCAGAATCTTCCATACCCAAATAGGTGTGAATATGCACCAATATGACCATGTCAGGTAATTGTCAATACGCAATGCAAACAGTGCAGTGAATATCAATAAACAGGTATGCACAATGAACTTGCTAAAGAAAGAAAACAGTACAATTAAAATATATACACAATGGAAACGTTTTGCATAAAATAGTCAAGATCAAATAATTTAAATGCAAAGTAAAATAAAAACAAAGTATAATCAATTGGCTTCAATTTATTTAACATCTTTTGGTTGAGTAACTAATAATTATACAATAGTCAATTTTGAGGTATATCGTATTGGAATGTAAATACATTAGTTAAAGAGTTTGAGTACAAACCTTGGATTAAAGTCTTGGAATAGCGATTGCAAATTCATTCTAAAATATGTTTACTATTTACAAAATGATACTTGTCTAAACTGCACATAACCTCCACACAAAAAAATAATATACAGTGAATTTCGCGCTGTTGCTTAATGTACAGAAATAGTCTAATGTTTAAGTAATGTTGAAGTTGTTTAAAAATTGCATGTTGAAAAACTGTTGGATATTGTTTTATGGTGCTCAGACAAGAGTAAAGTTAGCTTTATATTTAATGGATGTTAAGGTGATTTAATTGAAAAAATATAGGAAGTTTCTTAAGCATATGTGACCATATGTTCAGTGCTTGCAGGATGGTGGCAACGTAGCGAGATATATAAGGAATTTAAAACTTTGACAAGAGTATTTGTTGACAGTTGCTTGGTTAGACAACCTGCTTTTGTTTGGTGTACTTGTGTCTTGTGCTACGTAGTCTTTGCATATTGCGAAAACTAAATTTGAAGGAGTATTGTTTTGGTGATCCGAATTGGTCAATAGGGAATTCGCAATCGTGTTTTGTCAACACCACAAAAATCGAACCACATATGCCTACTGAGTGCAGAGAAAGTGCCTGCATAACGTTCTCAGTGTGTCCTGTGGGCAGATAAGATTAGCTGCAACATTTCCTCCCTTTAGTAAATTAAGAACTAAACGGAAAAATGGAAGAAACGTTCATGCTGATCTCTCTGACTATAGTCATGCTTGTTGGGTCCTTCCTGGCAGGCTCCATTCCACTTTTCTTTAGCTTCTCAGAGGTAAGAAAGAAAGACCTTAATTTATGCAAAGTGAATGGGAAAATACTGTTTCTTATTAGCATCTATTAGAAAACAACTTATAAGGAAATTTCAACATTTTTATTACTAGATTATAGTCATAAAATTCAATTAATCCAATCATAATGATAAGGGAATTAGTTATATCTATTGCCAATATATGTAATTAAATTGTTTTGTGTTTTTTTTTTAGGAAAAGTTGAAGAAAATCACTGTCTTTGGAGCTGGGCTCTTGGTGGGCACAGCCCTTGTAGTCATCATACCAGAAGGTGTTCGTTCTTTGACTATAGAGGAAGCCCCCACAAATCATGTGGAGGCCACACAACATTCCCACAATCATAAGGAGAATGATCCCTTGTCATTTATTGGTATAAGTTTAGTTTTAGGATTTGTTTTTATGCTATTAGTGGATCAGGTAACTAAATCTATTGCAAGTCAAGATTAAGATTTAATAGTTTCGTCTTTGTAGATCTCTCAAAGTAGGAACGAAAGTTTGAACCCCTCTGAAAGGAATATTACAGCGACTGTTGGTCTTGTCGTGCACGCTGCAGCTGATGGTGTAGCTCTGGGAGCGGCTGCTACCACGAGTCACGCAGAGGTCGAAATCATCGTGTTCTTAGCCATAATGCTTCATAAAGCGCCAGCAGCCTTTGGTTTGGTTACGTTCCTAATGCACGAAGGCATCGACAGGTGAGTTAATCAAAAAAAATAAATAACTAAACCTTATATTAACAAAAAAAAATCTGCGCTTAAGGCAAAGGATTCGAAAGCACCTTCTGATCTTCTCATTGGCCGCTCCATGTCTCACCTTATTGACCTATTTCGGTATCGGGCAGGAGCAAAAGGAAACGTTCAGTTCCATCAACGGAACAGGTTTGAGCCTCATTAGCATCTCTAAATAAACACTTTATATCTCAAAAATAACTCTCGTATTCAGGTATTGCAATGCTCTTCTCGGCCGGTACTTTCCTGTACGTCGCGACCGTTCACGTTCTGGCCGAGCTGACCCAGAATTCGCACCAGCATTACTCCAGATTGCAATCGCTGGAGACGGCGGGAAAGTCGACACAAACAAAATTAAGGTTCCTCGAAGTCGTCATCCTCGTTCTGGGCTGTCTGACGCCATTGGTTTTGACCATCGGTCATCACCATTAAGACTGCACGTCGTGCCAAGTGTCGATATTGGAAACATAATCAGTATAACTCGAAATTATTAAGAACCAACAACAAAAAAAAAATGCAATACGTTTGTATATTTATATATATTTTTCCAAACCGAAACTAAAAGTTCAAAACAAAAATATAAATATTTGAAATACTCGGACAAATATGTAATTTTGTAAGCTAAACAATTTATATTCTTAAAGCAATTTTCTGAATTGTTCCAGTGATTTCATAACCAGAATTTGTGATTTTTATTTTGCTTGAGTTTCATTATCATTTTATTTTTTTTATATATGCATTACGTATTAAGCATTGATTTATTGATTGATTGCAAAACAAGTATAAGCTAAAACAAGTGTGTGTTAAGTAAATGTTCTTCTGTTTTTATTCGAAGAACATAGTTTTCCATAGCTTTAATGCCCGCAGATTTTTTTTATTTCAAATATTACTTTATATATATGTATACATGCATTGTAAATAATTCTATATATTTATATATATGATTGTATATAAATTATTATTATTTTTTTATTTATTTCATTTTCGGATTGTACAATTTTCGGTTTTAAAAGATTGCGTTTTATATATATATATGTACATTAAACATAATCTCATTTTATACATTTCGTTTTTTTCTCTTCTTTAATTATCAGCCAATTATACCAAGTGATGATTTGAAGTTTAACAGCAGAAGTTTTATTACTTTCCAAATATTTACCTTTACCATTATATTTACGTTTATTTTTAACAACTGTTATTCATGAAAATTATGGGACATAAATAAAATATAAATTAATCAAATTAAAAAAAACTTGAAATATATAATGAAAATTCAAGAAAAACTTAACGTTTAGTCTTCAAATTGTATTTAATCTTCCTGTTAACTATATTTGAAAAATCTCATATAAGTGAATTTATCTAAAGAAAACAAATATTATAAATCCATTCTTCAAATAAGTTCCAATCACTACTTCCTTTTGTAAAACGATGTCTTTCAAAACTCACGATTAAAACAAATATCTTTATTGAAAACATTAAACTTTTCATACTTAACAACAATATATCTAATTTTAAGAAATTGAGACTAAATTAAATGATTAATTCGATTGCTACAGTCCTTTATCACCTGCAGAATTGTATAGCAAATTAGTGTATTTTATTGGTTCAAACGTTTTTAATTCTCACGAAACATATATTAATAAAATTAAAAGGTTCATGTAAAAGTATTTATTATTTTATATACAATTAAGAAAAAATGTCTTAATATTTTTCTCTTAGGTATTATTATACATGTGCTCCGGCAATTAAAAACTACAATTAGCATTTTTTTTTGTTTGTTTTACACTAACACACATAAATGGAAGAAAATTAAACTAAGAACATGTTCGATAAATTACCTAGCATTTTTTTTTTTTGGTAAAACTATGAAAAAAAATTAAACATCACAAGATTCCATCTGTCCAGCAAACGAGATAATTAATAATTACAATATTTTATAAATGAATTGTATTTAAAAACATTAACATATGCGATTCGCAAAGTAATTTTGTTAAACTAAATAATAATCAGTCCAAACTAGTATACTAAACACGAGTGCACCGTTGCTTGCTTCGTTCTTTCTATCATTATATGATCGAGGGGAAGAAAACGATTCCTATTTCAGAGCGGTTTTCCTCCCCGGAGATATCCAGTGGAAAAAAATATTAATTCATTTTCGATACAAAATAAAATAATTTAGAAAAATATATATACCTATTACAATATATACGGATATCTTAATATCTAACAAAATTATCATGTTAATTAATAAAATGCTTTGTACAAGGTTGTGTGTGTGTTTGTGTGTCTCTCTATATGTTATAGATTAACTAAAGAAAAATTGCTTTCGGTTCAAGAAAGTTTCCATCGGTTTGAATCGGATGACATTTCATACCATACAATTGAATCCGAGAACAAAGAAAACAATAAAAAGATGGCCCAATGTAACATTGTTTTTAATGTTTTATTTATATAAATATATCATGGAAACTTTGTTCAACCAAAAGCGATGCTCACATACACGTAAAATTATTAATTACATTAATATAATAAACAATGAAAGTAAATGTTATAGCTACATTATAATAAAATAAAACTTTCTTGAACTACTTAAATACATATTATATATAACTATATACAATCCATGTCATTCTCTTGTTCCTGTTATTTGTTTTTTTTTTTCATATCAAGTAACCCTTTTTCTATAAGCTGCATAAACTTCTGTGGATTTGTGAATACACAAGGACATTCACATCTCATATTTATCGACTGCAATTGATCAGGTTTATGAATAAACACGTCTGAGGACAATGGCAATACAAACCTTAAAATCTAATCAGCGTAAACAATGTAATTTTGATCGACCTCAGTCATTTCAACTTTCACAAACTGCGGCTGGATGATCTGCATACCCGAGTTTCCGCGATTCAAAGCGTTCCGCGATCTGCAAAGAAAATAGGGCATTCAATGTGCAAATTCTATCGATTTCTGCTGCAGATAACTTACTTTGCTTTCGCATGCGTTAAAATGTGACTCTTCAAGTTGGTGGATTGCGCAAACTTCTTGTTGCATCCGTCGAAGGGACAGACGTATGGACGGTCGCCTGTGTGTATACGCACGTGGGTCCTAAATCATGATAAGTGTCAATAAGGGTGTCTATTGTTGTTGATTTTTGTTAATTGTTTTACCTTAAATTAAAATCTAAACTGAATCTCTTGCCGCAGCCTTCGAACGTGCACTGGAACGGTTTCTCTCCAGTGTGGACCAGCTGATGGCGTTTCAGCTTGCTGGACTCCACGAATGCTTTCCCGCATTCGGCGCACACATGCACTCGCGGTCCGTGTGTATGCAAGTGTTTCCTCATAGCTGAGTTATCTCTGAACATCTTGTTACATCCTTTGTGTGGACAAGCTGCAAAGCAGGTCATGATGTTATTTATGACATTTGGTAGATGGTGGTTGCTATTATTTACCAATAGTTCTATCAGAGGAATCCTGGTTTGGGCGTCTCATCCGGGGACTCTTAATACCTGGCCGAGTGAATTCAGCCAGCTGCTTAGGGTCAGACAGATCAAGCCCAGGGATTGCATCTGTTGGTATCTTTTTGCCGGTCATGTATTCTGTATAATCTGGATCTGGATCAGGATTTGAGACTTCATCTAAAAAGGGAATCAAAATCGATTCATGTGGTGATTAGTCAGTGGTTTTTATTAAATAAGTCAGACATATATATATATAGACACATACATATTACTGAACGATTGGGATTTAAGCGTATTTACTTTTGTTTTATTGGGGGGATGATTCAAATCATGGATGGGTTGTGTGCGGCGCGGATAGATGGCGGTGCAGTTTGTTATGATGTTGAAAGGATGCAGGATTAAATAATAGGCGGTCGCGTTTGATGTGGGAGCACGTCTGCGCCAGGCTATATGGGTCCTCGGGCTTCGGTGCTCTGAGGGAGAGCGACAGGGAGAGCGGATGAAGTTAATGAGGCTATGGCGCAACATTTGTTTACAACAAATCGGAGACATGTTTGGACAGCTTTTGTTTTTTCCACGGCCAGCCATTTAATAAAAATGGCAGTGCAGTGATGATGGCCGCTGTTGATGTTATGCAGGCGTTTGCGGCGAGGCGAAATGCCCTGTATTTACATCGCCGCCAATCGTCTCTCGCAAATTTCGGTTCGAGTCGTTGTTGCTGAAGAGAAGGAGTTGTTGTTATAAAAGGAAGTCGCGGTGGTGTGGTGGTTTTTGTTTCTACTATTTTTATGTTTTGTTGTTTTTTTTTGTTGTTGTTGATTAGTTAATAGTAATAGTAGTAAACATGTCGCGGGTCTTTCGTGTTTTGTTTCTGTTTCTACGGGCATCTATTGTTCTTACCGTCGCTCGTTGCCCACATAGTGACGGAGAATTCACCCTCCATGGTCTTAATCTGGACTTGTTTTTGTTCCCATTTGCGCGGCCGCGGCTCGACGTGAACGTCTCCGAGCATGATCTCGTTGTCGCGCCTCGACAAGATGTTCCTATTCTTCAGGGCGTTCTTCTTGCGCTGCTTGGAGGACGGCCCAGGTCCTGGTGATGATTCGATGTAGATGTCGGAGCCGTCCGGCACCGGCACCTCGTACAGATTCAGATGGTCGCCGGTGTCGTCGATGATCTCCTCCTGGGCCTCTAAAATAATATCCCTGCCCTCTAACGTTTGCATCATTGTGTCTCCGCATTCGACAATCGTTTCCACGGTGTCATTCAGTTCAACGGGAATTGTTTCGATTTCGACGCATTCCTGTATGTCCGGCTGGATCTCGACCTCGCACATTATATTTTGATCCGCCATTACCGCCGCCGAATTTATATATTGTTTATAAAAGATGGTCGCACAAAGATGGCGGAAAATATGTCCGCCTCACTACCACAATGGCGCCGAACTAAAGACACTACGCAACAGAAGACAAACGTACAACATCATACTTTCCGCAACAACATATCGCTTACGTTCAACGATTCCATCCTTCTCTTACCCACAGATTGCATACGCACGGACGTCTCTCTTAGCTTCATTCAATTCGTTTTACCTTCGGTTTTAACGCCATCTGTTATCCGGAGGCGCAGACCATCACCATACAAATCAATACGTGTATTTATAGTCAACACCAAAACTTGCTGTTGCCAGGATTATCATCTATTTACTTTCAACATCTAATCAATCCATTCATTATAACATAAATCCAAATTGCACCTCTATGTACATTTCAAAATCTCAAAAAAAAAACACCATATGTTTCGTACTTTCGCGGCTGCACTTTCTTTTTTAAAAGAAACTATCTATGTATAACATTTTAAAATATTTACTTTAACTCAACTTCATTATCCTTGAATTCATTATATACAAACAATCAGTAACTAAGTAACGAATTCAGATGTTTTACTCTTCAAACCTAATAGAGAATCCATAAAATAATACGACAATGATCATACCAAAAACAATATTTACTGAATTTGAACATACATTGAAATATTTCGCATTTTATGAAGCATTATTTTTATATTAAAATAATCCAATGTTTTTTTAAGTGTTTTAAGCTATTTTATTATACAAACAAAATATTTCACTTTCACTTCATTAGTGAACATAACTTACCTGAATATCAATCCCGCTTCAAGGATTTTTGTAGCAGATCGGAAAAAATAATTTGATGAACATTCTTTGATACTTACTTTTCAGATTTAAGAATTAAAATTACAAGATTTCTGTTATCTGAAAGTTCAAAGTTAATCTAACTTAAGAAATATATATTTATAATTGTTAAAAGTTTCCACAATTACTCTCTTTCAAAAATTCCTTAAACCCAAAATAGTTGCTATTACTTCAAAATCGATCGTTATTAAATAACTGTTTAATTATTTTATTTGTATTTTGATAAAAAGTAATTATCAAGTTCATTGAATAATGCAATTTATATTAATAACAGGAAAAACTCTTTGAATATAAATTGTATATAAGAATGCTATAATTTGGAAGGACATTTCGTAATAAATAATATGCTTAGTTTTCTAATTTACGCAACTTCTATTTGACATTGGAGAAACTATATATTTAAGAAACAAGGTTCAGCAAACTGAATTCAAATATCGCAATAATGAGAATCGACGCTAGATTGCAAGTAAGTGAATTTTAATGAAACACTACAATTATGTTTACGTCCTAATTTAATTAGTCTTGCTAATTTTAATAATCTTGTTTACAAGTGGTGAGGAAAATAAGGATATTGCGGTGAGTGGAACGAATGGATAAGGAATATCAATTTTCAAAACAAGCTTAGTAAATGCTTATTTGATTGATAATTATGGAATGTCACACGATTATTTTTTTTAAATTTTTGCAACGACTAATTGCAAATTCCATGCATTAATGACAAGCTTGACAATTATTTACGGTTATCCTTCCGAGAAAGGATCTATTGTTACGAAGAGGTGCATTTAATAAAAGTCACTTTTTGGGTATTTTTTACCTACATTTCGAAAGTAAAGGCGTGTCGGAAAAGTTTCCAACAGCGGTCAACGTAATTAAAAAGGATTTTTAAAATTTATGGAAAATTTTGGCGATTTCTAAATTGAAATAAATAAAATATTATATAGCAATAAAATGAATTTATTATTATATATTTATATATAATTTAATTAATATGCTTTTTTAACGTAGTTTAAAATTTCAATACAAAGGGCTCTAACATACAAATACACAATATGGAAATGTTTACTGATGAAAAAAGTAACGCTGCTTAAATATCTGATAATGTATCTTCTCTTCTTCTCCTCTTTTAAATATAATAAATATTATATATAATTATTATCACAGACGCAAAATTTCTAAAAGAATCTTAACTAAAAGTTGAAAACACTGGAGATGGCTATCGATATGAAGGATGCTAAGAAAATTGAGAAAGTCGCTGCGGTTTTAACCCCTTTACCACAAATTTCAATCGCAGATTCCTACAAATCCGAAAATAGGCATTCATTAGAATTCTTTTTAAATTATTTATATATTCGTTTATATGCAGCGCGACTTCATAATCATGTCATCAAATGGTTGCAAAGTCTGTTTAATTTAATCTGTTACCTAATCAATCAATTTTCTGTGCAACGAATTTATATAGGCGCTTATAAAATGTATATAAATTCATAGCAGACTTTTTGAAACCCCAACCATTGGTAAATTAAAGTTGCAAACTGCATATAACAAATATTTGATATTAGAGTTTCAAATTTTAAATACAGAAATTTGAAGTGTAGAAGAACCTTATCAATCAAAGACCGGATTGATAAGTTTCTACTATAACTATTTTTTACTAAAGCTTTTTTTTATGTATATAAATGTCTTACATGTATACTTCTGTTGATGCAGCTCATGTAATTTCGCCTCGTGAAATTGTTGTAGTGAACGATGTGACACTGCCTGCTCATATTGTAATCGACTTCAATGGGATTCGGTGACAAGAATTCCTCGTCGACCTGCATTTCCGGACATATCCTATTTATAACCAACAAGATCATATTGCTTCCGACCACGGGTTGCACCAAGAACGGCCTGAAATTGATGTTAATTAACCCTTACATCTTTCACTTCTATATTTTAATACCTCGAGCAATTCCCCGTCATGGACTTGTTATATCCGCTACTAGAAATATTGCGTTCATTGTAATGGAGCAGTGAATACAGGAACATTTCCTTGTCGCATGGCTCCGGCTGCGTCTTATTAATAAGAAGCCTTTGATCAAAATCTTTCTCGAAGGCCCTTGATGGTGGTTCCGAACCAGACCCTTCCACCATTTCTTCGTCATCCACAACCGGACCTAATAAACCGTCGTCCGAAGCCATCGTCGATTTCAACAAATAGAATAAAGTAGCCAAAGCCCACTGCACTAACTCGTTTAAATGAAACAGTGGCTGAAACAGATTCACAACAATTATTACCATTTTGAAGAGTACTTATCATCACCAAACTAAACGTGCAAGACTATACGAAGCCTACGTACATACATATTCGTGTAAAGTGTGCTATGTTAATCGGATTACAAAATTAAGTACACAATCGAATAAGACAATACTAGGATGCAGTTTATTGCAAGTTTAGGACCGCCGCATTTCAGAATGTCGCTCTCCTAAAACGAAAATAGATTATTCTCGTTTTACTATATCATTCAGCTCACATTGAAGAACTCATCATGTCTAAAACAAGATCTGAAATATCTCACGACAAGGTCACTTGCGGATTTCAAACATGTTAGAGGCTCATTGTACGTTATAATTTTGTGTTTCTCAGTGTACGTGCTGACGTTCAGAACGATATCTACCTCATATACTAGAAGCAGGGCATTAGTGTTCGGAATCATTTCGTAAAACACGCTAAAAACCAGTAGTTACGTTTGAACCTTACTAAGTATATTTAAACAACTAATTTGTATATACCTTTCAAGGACATTTGCATTTTGCGGTGATAATTGGTGCAAGTGCAATTCTTTGTCACAGGGTACTGGATTGCTATCAATTTTATTGTCTTCGGGTGTTTTGTGTGTTTGGTGGTGGGTATTGTAATAGTGTTCTTGTGAATGCGCATGCAGGAAGAGCACTAGGGTACTCAGGAACCAGGTGAAAATTTCTTTTAAATGCACTATTGGCTAAAAAAATTGCATTATAGTTCAAATACACTTAATTTTTTTACGACCCTGTTGTGTTAGTAGTAGGAGCATTAAATTACATACATTTCTGAACCTAGTCGCTGGACTTCCGGTGGGAATATTGGGGAAGCAGGTAGCTTGGTAATCGTAAATCCTAGTCCTGGTATAAATACGTTCCTCTACTAAAAGCTCCATTATGTCTCTGCGAATATCCCCCAGGAATACGCCGGTGTTTTTTTTGTCATAGCTGACGATAATGTAGCCACTGTCATCTAAGACCAAGCAATCGAGTTCTTCAGAACTGCACGTCCTTTTGCAATTAATCTCGCCGCACTATACATATTTGAAAGTCATTTGTAAGTATAGTTGAATAACAGAAATTAGTACTCACGGAATTTGTTATCTTTTGAAATAGCGTGTGAAGCGTGCTATGATAAAATTGGAATCCGACAACAGCAGCTGGTGCTTTCACTGTTTTGTTTCCTTTGAATATAGCATGACTAGCAGTTACCAATATATCCTCCGGATTATCCTCATATTCTATTATTATAAAATATTTAGTTGTGCAGAGTAAATTTATTACAAATGCGTACCTGCTCCGAATGGTACTGAATACACGAAACTTCTTGGCTGAATGTAATACTGTTCAACAGCTCTTCTATACCAAACTTCATCAATTGCTTTATTATGAACTAAATGGAAATGCCTACAAAAAATGTAATTTAATACAATTCGTAACAAATTTCATATTTCAAGTTTGCCAAATTCAAATGTCAGTTAAATTTAAGGATTTTAACTTTTTTCAAGAAGAATATTTGAACTCAATAAAATGAACTAATTCTTTATCGAGTTTTTCAATTCATTAAATTTATAATAAATCTTACTGTTCGTTTCTCCTTCTTTGATCATCTACATTTTGTGGAAAGTCTTGCCATCTGGTGAGACCGCTATGTGTAGCTAGGAAGGCCACCGTAATTCCAAACATTTTTATGAATTCGTGTCTGTAAATTGATTTAAATTAGATATCTTGTTAAAGACTTTTATCGCAAACGCATATTTCCATGCAAGTGTAATTTTCTAAAATATGGATACAAATAATTTTATGATGATCTCCGAGAAAAACCTGAAAATAAATTTCCCAAGAAAGGCTGCTTTATAAATAGTAAAGTATTATTATCCTCGGTAAGCTATTACATAAATACATTAAGTTTACGCTGGATGGAAGAGCTGTAAAATATAAAATCTATACAAGTTTTTTAAAATTAAATAGACATTGTTTTTTGTATGATAGAGAGAAATTTAAGAAAATAATGAGTTTGAAAAGTATTAATTTGTTGGTAGCTATTACTTTTACTGTACCTTGGTAGTAAAGCCATTAACATAGCTATTGGTCTTTAAAAGTAAAAGGAAAAAAGGGAAGAAAATATAAGAAAATATTAGTGCATATTGATTACGTGTGTTTTATGTGTTATGGTTGAGAGTCGAAGAGAAGCTTACCCGTTCTTTTCGTTGTTACTGGCACTGATGTTTTTATTGTACCAATCCGTGCTCTTTGCATCAGCGACAACTTTACAAATTAATTTTCGGTCACCTACAAAAAGAGTAATTAATTACATCTAATGGATAATATCAGTATCCTCTCACATTCGGGCGACCATCTCCAACCGGGTTCTTCCATTTTATGAAGGAAATGCAGCAATTCCTCTTCGGGTGATCTAAAGTTATGCCTATCATCCAAGTAACGACAATAATGCCTGAAAATAAAGGCATTCGGAATTGACGTTCAGTTTATAATGGTTATTTATTTACCAATCCGGATGGATGGTCCAATTTCCAGTGAAGAAATGCGTCAGGTTTTTGTTATTCGAACGAATCCTGTGCGGATCGTCTTCGACGGGATACTGGATACGGTAGGAGCCATATCTATCTGGTAAGGCAACGACCACTGTAAATGGTGTATCAGGAATGCCCATGAAATAGTAAAAGCGTTTTCCAAACATTATCCGTTTCTGAAATTTTATACATGATTATCGAAGAGGAAATGTATGTTGATTAGTGCAAACCATTTGGTCGATGTGGGTTTTGACCATGAAGACTTTTTGACCACTGGTTTGATTAACGACGGCTCTTCTGAAATCCTTCAGTTCATCACTGAATTTGCGAGGCTCCGAATCGTCGTTCTGCAGTTCTACTTCGATCATATCTACACGATTATACGCCGGCTTCAGAATGCCTTGAAACTAAAGTCGAATAAGTTATTGTTATGTAAACGTTGGTTTAAAGTATTTGATTTACCACTGGTCTTAAGTCTGGATGTATTAAAATGTATCCATTGTTTGTAACTATAAAGGCATAGCCATTCACTCCCAGCTGCACGAAATCAAAGATGATGTTAATTAAGAATCAAGTTCCATGCGATATCTGTTGATATTATTTACCCTGTACGGTAATAACAGTCTCTTGATGTATTCTATTGGAACATCTGTTCCTGCAACTCCAAGTAAATTAGCTACTCGCGTCTGAAATTATAGAAAACCGGTTAGCATGCTGAAAAGTAATGCAGTTGCAAAAAAAATATATTATAGTATTTAAGCACTAAACGGAAAAAGTCTAGCCTAGACAAAATTTCTTCTTTGTAATTTTTTTTTAAATCCACTTTTTATGTAATAGCTAATTCTATATCACTCAAGATAGTTTAATCTAAGCTCGATATATATTGTTATTATTTTTTTTTTCTGCAAATTTAATTAACTCTCAATCTTAAAAAAACTCAATATTAACACTGGAACTTCATCTGAGATACAAACTAAAATCATCTACGTTAAATTATATAGTTTCTTCCACCTACAGAACTACGTGTGAAACGAAACCTGTCGCACTCGTTGCAAACTATTTTTTTTATATAATATTATTTATGTATATATATAGATAGATATAATCTAAAAAATCATAATAAATATATATATCCGAAGCAAGTCTCCAGTCCTTTATATATAAATATATATATATTCATTTAGCACTCCTAAAATCATATATATATATATAATTTCAATCTAAGCTAAACTAGACATCGAATCTTAATATAAAATTATAAAAAAGAAGTTTTTCGCTCTTCTAGCCCTAAATCTAATTATAATTAATAAAAATTAAATAATTTCACAGACGTGGCGGTTTAAGATGCGTAATTCATTTTTACCTCTCTGGTCACAGTGATCCAGATTTTTTCGTTGATCTGAATCTTTTCTGAAATATTCTGCACACAAGATCATGTTCAAACATTGCACGGATTTCGAACGTATTTCAAATATGATGAAAGATGAAATTTGAAATTGTGTTCGTTTCGAATGGCATCAAGTACTTACCGCATTCTGCCTCTTATCGTACACCGGCAACGAGACGGACGTCATCATTCTGTACTTTCTTTCCTCGGATAACTCGTATTCGCGCTGTTACATAATTAATTAGAATTTTGTTTAACGCGTTGTAGTAGTCAAATACCTTGGTTTGCTGGTATGCGTATTTTCTATCGGAAGCCTCGTCGCTGAAGAATATTGACCGATTCTTATTGTTTTTGTAACTAAGGAAGCGGTCTCTTTGCTTATTGCGTTCGCGTTTTTCCCAGAGGTAATTGGTGAGCTTAGGATCTGTAGCATCTGCGTATACTGGGCTCCAGGTTGGATTAGGTTTGAGATTTGGGTTCAGGACCATAGGGCGTGCCATCACAGGTATGTATTGAAGCACCTGCTCTCTGACCTCAGCGTAAGTGCTTAAATGTACATAATATCCTACAAATCAAATAAAGACATTTAGCTTCTTTTTTCTTTTCAAATTGAAACAAACAAACCTTGATTTGCACAAGCCATCCACTTGACGTCATGAACATCTGAGACCTCGCGACCAATTAGATAGGTGAACATCCTGACTGGCATGAACGGTAAATTCCTCCAGTTGAATTCTTCGAAAATTTCTCTGAAGCTTTCATACACACCATCCGTGACCAGCATGATGGCTTGATTGCACTGAGCACCTAATCAAACAAACAATATAACATTATGAAATTAATTCTGATACAATCAAACCTACCTTGTCCAGGTCTGTTATCGCGGTAATCTTGCAACAGCGTGAAAGCAGTAGTTAAAGCCAAAGTGAAATTCGCTATTTGCTCAGTGCGAAAAGAAGACATTGCTTCTTTCAGATGTCGCACGTTATCCAGATTTGCCTACAACATAAATCGATTAATTTTTATATTATTAAATATTACTGTATTAACCTGCACTAAGAGATCATCAAAGCACTCGACCAATGGTTCAGTGGTGTTGCCAAATGTGTAAATGTTCACATAATCATTATTCCCCAGCGTATCAAGTATGTTATTCACGACATGCTTGGCTATTTCTCTCCTCATCCCAGTCATGGACCCCGAACGATCGATTAATATGACAATATCTTTGGGAGAGGATGCTGCTTCTATGTACCAATTTCTCGTGCGACAGTCGAAAAGATCTATGGGTTCCTGGGTCCAAATTATGGCTGTAATGCATAAAACAGTGATTAAAGTAGTCTACACCATAAACATGACAATACAAGTACCTGGAAATTGACGCATGAAGCCCATCGAACTACCGAAGTATTGCCATGACAGACTGGGATCCTGCTTATAATTATTTCGGAACGTTTGATCCAACTCTTCAGACCATTTGATTCCTTTAATAACTTCTTGAGCTAAAATAAAATAATTGAAATAATTAATACGTTTAAAATACTATAAAATGCTATAGTTCTAAGTTATCTGTTGAGTACTAATAAACTAAGGTTTGGAAATATAATAGTTTTAACTGCTGTTTAAAAAATCAATTATTTTAGGGCGGATAGACAGAATCTTTTGTATATGTAATCGATTTTGTTTTTGGTATGCGATAGCACTTGTTTCTAGTGAGGAAATTGAAAACTATTGGTACTACTTAAAATAATAGAATAATCTTTGAACTTACATCGATCGTAAACATTGCTTGGAACATGAACGGCGCTGACGTTCGTGTTTACCTCGATATCGTAAAAGTGCGGATTGGGATAGAGCGGTAAATGAGTTCTATCTTCTGGTGGCTTCAAACTGGCCATCGGCTCCTGTTCGTAATCATCGGTTATGACCTATCACCAAATATATGTATTTCAATAAAACAAAAAGATATCTAGCGATGACCGCAAACCTTTCTGGGTAGTTCCATATCCTCCGAATTATTTTCCTCCTGCTCCTGATCCAACTGGTAATCCTCCGTATCCTCCTGTATCATCCTGCTGTACTTGACGCTCTCATCGTTCGTATACTTTACATCGTAAGATTCGTACGATCTCAAGGATTCCGCCTGATTACTATCAAACTCCGCATCTTCTTTCTGAAACAAATTATAATATATTTATTATCTAAACAAATGAATTTTAACTTTACCTCATCTTCGGTTTCCTCATCATTTTTAGTTGCAGAATTCAGAAGTTCTTTAGCATTGTAGTAATTGAAGTTATCATCCACGATGTCTCCTTTGGTCGCTGCATTCTCGGCCACTTCCATTATTCTCTGAACAGTAATACAATTATTTTCAGAAAGAGTAGACTTATTCGTTTCAAACAAATCACTTGTTTTCTTAATTGAATTATGACATTAGCCTACTTATTTTTCAGCGCAGTAAATGCAAATTGCATACTGTTAAATAATTTGTATATTTATAAAGTCCAGTCAAATATAAACATTTAATTTAATCTAAATTAAGTTTTTATTATAAAAAAAAAAGTTATTCCTCACCCTGACAGCTCCTTCTTTCTGCTCCATCATTTTTTTAATTCTCTCCTTTATGTCTTTGAGGAGTGCAACCCCATCTTCCTGAACAATATCCGTGTATTTGAAGCTCTAAAACATGTTATATTTACTACATTCTTTATTAATATCTTTAATTTGGATACCTCTTCGACGAGTTTCTTTCGAGTTACCAGTTCCCCGAAATGCCATAATTCGCCGCCCAATTTTTCAGCCCAATTTCGAACACTGAAAATCAATATATTGTTATGCGAAATCTACTAACAGAGCAAGCTAATAAATACACTGCATCAAACAGTTAAATAAATTAAGATTATCCTGTTTTGACTTACAGTTTGGGCAGTTCCGGATGCTTGATATCCTTGTGTTGGGCTTCTTGGGCGTTTCTAGGAGATATGGTTATTAGGAGGAAGCACAGGATGGCTGCACTTCGAAAAACTATGGGGCCCATGATGATGTTCACTTCTTTTTCCACATTGTACGCGAAAAGTGTGTTAGTAAGGTGCGATCCTGGAGTACGTTGTGGTGGTGACAAGGCAAATCAATAAAGTGGTGCATTGCGCGCCAGTATCTGCTAATAAGAGCGCACACTCCATCCGCGGATTGCTTCTTTAATGTAATAGAGTAATTGACGGGATGTATGTCACGTCGTTTTGGCCTAATCTAAACTCATATTCTTATCATGTAATTGAAACATGTTAATAGTAATGCCTTCTCGAAGAAACAACAACAAAAAGTTAACTCAAGCATCACTATGTTAACATCCGATAAACAAGAACAATTCTAGAACTAAATAAAAAGTTTTATTTGATAGCAAAATCAAAAATATGAGAAATTTTGGAGATATGCAATCTGTTCTGGTTTGAAAAGTTATTGGAAGAAAAAAATATTCGGCTGCAAAAGAAAAAATTTGGACAACAATTATTTGATATGAATGAAACATGTAATGCATTGAGCAGCATTTGTCAATATATAGGTCACCTAAAATTTTGAATGGGTTGCGTCAAAGCGTCAAAAATTGTATGTCAAAGCACAATAAGGTTTAGAAACACTGGAATAATGTATAAAATTGACTGGAAAACCTGTTTTTAAGACTAATTCTAAATGTTTTTTATTATACTTATCTTAAATAATAATGATCAACTGCACCACTCGGAATTTATTTCAAGTTTATGTAATGTAATCGATGATTAACGCACATATAGAATGTGTAAATATAAGAACATTAAAAGGTCGGTACAAAATGGAAAACTTTAGGTCTAAAAGATATCCAACTACTGCATTTCATTCATTTAATTCATGGAAACAGGCTTTTGTAATGTAATAAATATGCAAGTAGTTTTTTTATTTAATTCTATATTTTATAATACCATATTAAAAATCAACTAGAACAGCGTATGCGATGAAAAAACTGTAACAATGAAATATATATGTATATGAAAAGAATCACAGAATAAAAAGAAAAATTATTAAGATACGGATGAGATGCGAAGCTCAATCGTGGTTGCAAGTTTGGTCGTGAAGCTGCTTTGGCTTTAACGTGAGCAGATCAGAGTCTATGGAGATGTCATCGTCTTGCCCATCCACCAAGCTCAAGCCAATACTGTTTTCGATCCTACTGTTAAGCTCGTCGGACAGCAGGATGCTGTCGTTAAGCATGACGTTCTGCTGCAAGGAGTTCGTTATTCTGTCAGCAATTAGTACGGTCTCGTTGAGCCTGTCATTCAATTGAACATCCAAAAGCTCATCTTGTCCGGCATCCATGCCGCTCCCAGAACCTTGCTGGAAGTGCAACGAGTTTCCCAATGGTGGCCACTCCAATCCCAGGAACAGATTTGAAGATAAATGGTTTTCCGTTCCAGAAAAGTTTAACAAAGGACTTTCCAACGGAGTCGAGCAGGCTAAAACAATTTGTACTTAAGTAACATTACAACTTTGACAAACATGGAGTCTAATCCCAGGCGCTATGATTTTTTGGCGAAATTATTGAGTTTGAAGCTATAATTTGCATTCACATTTTAGTGATTTTCTCATGAACTATAATAGATAGCATGGATTCAAAAGATGCACATGACAGTTGGATATTTGGGGAATGCAACGTGAATTCAATTATTGCTGTGGTTTCATCTGTTGAGCTGTAATTCGCGTTCAGACTTGAACTAATGCTCAAAAAAGCAGTTTCTTCACAGTTTAGTGATTTTCTCAGAAACTATGCAAAAGATGCACATGAAAGTTGGATATTTGGAAAATGTAACGTTTATTATATCTAGGGCGCCTCAGATCTTAAAATGAGTACACAACAACTTCAATGTTTGACATTATCAAATATTATTGTAAAATTGTGTTTGATTTTCAATATAATAGTTGATATAAAAAATACCTTGAATATTCATTGGAATATTAACGGAACTGTTGACGCTGTGTTTGTTGATGGATTTCTCCTGTTTGCGCCACTTGGCTCGTCGATTTTGAAACCAAACCTGTACACGCGCTTCCGTCAGATCGATGCGCAATGCGAGCTCTTCGCGAAAGAACACGTCCGGATAATGGGTCTTGTGGAAGGCCCTTTCCAGTTCCTCCAATTGGAAATTGGAAAACGTCGTCCTAAGAAAGAACGTCCAGCATCAACAAAATCAACACATTTCCAATTAAAACCTGTATCTTCTTTGTTTTCTCTTCAGAGTTCCCGAGCTCGTCGATGCCTCCTCCGACGCATTGATGTTATCCAAAAAATCTATAAAAACAAGAATAAACGAAATTATGAATTACACAAATGCACTGAAATCTAATTATGCACGTCGCCTCCCTCCGAGTGAAATCGAATTAAACTGCACAGGGTGTGCTTTAATTTAATAGATGTAATTGAATTTGAAGTAATTGAACGGAGTCAGGTTGAAAATGTATATATATATAGGCATAATTTAATTTCCCGCTCACCGTACTTCTGCTGGTGGAACTCGTGGCAGTCGGTGTTTGTGTTCTTCAGCGAATTCAGAAGACCGTTGATCGTGTAAGATGAGGATGAGTTCGATATTGTCTCATTCAGAGTGGCCTCGTCGATGTCCTGCTTCAGGTCCATATCTACAGTTTCTTAGTCTAAAGAAGAAATATAAAAACAATGGTAAGTAAACGTTTATTTTATACCAGGGGTGGCCAAACTGTGGCTCGGGAGCCTCATGCGGCTCTTCAAGAGTCTTGTTGTGGCTAGTTGAGCCACAACAAAATACAAATGTCATATATATATTTTATATTATGATTGAGATTTTTTGAAAATTATTATACCAAAATGTTTAGGTGCGGCTCTTGCTGCAAAAAGTCTGATCATCTCTGTTTTATACATTGGAATGCAATAATGTAAATATACAAATAATACGTTTAAAAATACATATCTTGAATTCTAAAAGTAAAATTGAATCAAAATTAGTAAAATTATAACATTTTAATTACTAAAATTAGTACATTTATACAAATTTTCAAATTTCTATAATATTTCTATAAGTTTCTTTTGTTATTTATAATATATTTTTTTGACGCTTTGCTAGTGACAGCTGTCATTTCGCAACATATTAAAAAGTTAACGCAATCCAATATTGGATCGAGACTCATAATTTGAAAACCACTGATGTATAATATAAATTTAGTATTATGTATTACGAAAATAGGTATTATTAGGTTTCTTCTTTGAATAATTTACGTTTCTTCCTAAATCTATGAAATTTGTAAGATACAAAAAGTAAATAACTATACTCATTACGTCTAGTCTCATTATATAAATTTTAATTCTTAACGCATCGCTAAAGGATAAGAGTACATAAATTATTATTTTCATTCTAGTTAAATTGAACGTACTGCAAGCACTTGCATTATCAGCTTATCATTGTTTTGCAATACTGAATACATAACAACATGCATTAAGTATGACTAATTAGTGGCTAGCTACGTCGGTCTTAAAACACAGACATATTGTATAAAAAAACTGTATTTTGTCTCATAAACTTAATGTAAGTTAGTGTAGTGAATTTCTATTGCTACACTTATCTTAGCAATTTTTGTTTTCTCAAAACATCAAGATTTTGTCAAGCTAGAATAGAAAAACAATTTAATACCGCTAAAAAATACTTATTATTACGTGCCAGTGCATCCACAAAGTAAAACATTTCTCACAATAATACAGGTATGTTATTTAATTTATACTTGTTTATATAATGAATGTTCTAATAATAAACATAAATAAGTAATATTTTGAATATTAATGAATTTGGTCAAAATATTTGTGTGAAAATTCATTTTGCATTTAATATAGAATTTAATCAAAGATTTGAATTAATATAAAAACGAAATATGTATAGGAAATCTTTGTTAAATGCATTGTATTAACAAAGATTTTCAAAAAAAATAGAATGGTAAGCGAAATTTCGATTTTAAATAAATATTTAATATTATATATTTAACAAAGATCATATAACGATATTGAAGATGAAAAATAAAAAATAGTTAATACAAATATAAAAACTTCTACCAAAAGCGAGAATATTTTATAAAATTATACTTCCACTGAAGGTGGAAGAAAATATTATACATTGATTGATGGAAATATAATACTAAAACTATAACAAATAGGAGAAGTAGAAATTACTTAAAGATAATATAATGTAATTGATATAATTTAGATGATTTCAATATGCATTTACTATAAAATTCTTCGTAAATATTGTCAGTGCTATTAAATTTTTTATGTAAGAACTACATAGATATTGTGTTGTATTTAAAGAAAATTAAACTTCTAAATTCATATTATTTATATTAATATATTACAATATATTGTTTTGAACATTAGAAGATAGTTTCTAAAAAAAATATAATGACATTACGTGCATATTCAAAGTATGTTGATTATCTTACCGTGTTTAATTTCACTAAATATTCATATTAGCACAAATCGCAGTCCATTACGTACGGATGTGTATTATTAACACATGAAATACACTTCTTCTTCCGGATTCTTTCAGCGAACTCCAAGGTAACGAGCATTATTTTTCCGGTCGCAGGTTTAAAATTAATTTCGTTTCCAGCGCGTTTTTCACTGCGCTGTTGTGATTCTTATATAGTGAATCCTTACGACAACCCTCTTCTGTATTATATATATTGATGTGGACGTATGTACGTGTATATACATACATATATATATTTTTTTTAACCCCCACCGGCTTTGGTTACCGTCATAATTTGTACGGATTCCTAATAAATAAAATGCAATACAAAAAAATAAGAGGAGAGGACGCATTTTGTTTAGAACAATACGATATACAGGCGATTTAAAAAAAAATAGTCAATAATTTATTTGTCTCTTTGTATTCAGTAATAATAATAATAATAGTAATCAGATAGTAATAATAATTATGTAAAATACAAAATAATAATAATCTCTTTGACACGCCTCGATATAATACAAAGTAAAATTGAGTTTAAAGCTACAGGGAAAGATTGCAAAAGATGGGGATCTTAAATGTGTAAATATGTAATAATAAATAGTCGTGGTCTGTCTGAATCAAGCGGGTTTCGTGCGTCGCGCGAGAGGAACAGGAGGATGGACGAGTCGCGTTAGCGTTTTGGCCTTGTCCCCAGAAGCCGCGTGGTAGCCACGGAATTGGGTGGCTTTGTAGCTCGAGCAATTCGAGTCCGCTATACTTCTTCCATCACCTTCATCCCTCCGCGACATCTCCGAAAAGGGCGACACTCGTTTCACTTCGGAATCGTCTTTCTGTCGCACCGTTTCCGATCTGCAACAAAAACACACATAATCCCATGTAGAATGCAACACAAGTTATATGTCATTTATGTCAGATGCGAATGATGAATTTACATGTTCGTCAAATTCAAACTGATAAAGGGTCTTCTTTTAAATGACTAGCTATTAAGATTTAATTGTAATCGATGAAATAATATAGTATTACACGATCAGCATTACCTTATTGATTTATTCTTATTCTTAACTTCTCTCTCTAAGATGTCCGCAGTAGTTAAATCGGAGCTGTGTATCTGCTGCAACGAATTCGCGTTCTCCGTGAGCCAAGGTTTGTTCTTGCTCTTGGAACTGTCCGTACTAATCTCGGTGTCCTCGAGTATATTCAGCTTAATCTTCTCCAAGACACTCGCATTATCAATTTGCGGTTGGGCTGTTTGCGTTTGGTTCAGCAGCAGCTTGGACAGAGGCGGTGCCAGACCAAGACCGATATTCCTTTCGTGGTAGACCTCCGATATCGATGGTGTCAGTTCCCTGTTTATGTGTCGCAGTTGCGTTGCGAGGATGGTGTCGTGGATGTTGCCTGGCGTCTTTGCTTCCTCCGCCTGCGGCTGCTTCGCACCCTCCAACGACTCAGTCTTAGTTTCCGGGTTCTCCTCATTTGGACTAAAGTACAGCAAACGCTCGTTATTATTTACATTCTCCTCGCTGGGCAGCGCCACGACGTTCCTCTTCTGGGCAACGCTCTGAGTCGGCGTGATCTCCGTCCGCACGGACAACCTGTCCAGCGTGCAAAGAGTGTTACGCGCCTTCTTGTTGAACGGCTTCGATCTCTGTATGAACAATTTGGCTTCCATCTTCTCCAGCTCGCTGTCGGAGCTGTTCTCGAAGACGCCAGTCGGAAGATTGTTGTACAGCGGGCCCAGATCCAACAGATTCTTGTTGATCCTCGGCGGCGGTATCGGAGGTTGCGCCTGTCGTCTCAGTACAGTGTTCAGACCGTTGTTCTCCCAGTCGGTGGCAGAGCTTGCGCTGCTCGAGCTGTCCGGCCTGTGGCTCTCCAGTTTCTGATCCGATTGCGGATACAAATTTCGAATTCTAAAAAACGAATTGTTAACAAGAAGCGAATGCAAGTTTACTGCTTTCGTGTACTTTGTCTGGTGGGCAAGCGACAGTGCCAATTGGTTGTCGGCCTGAAGGACGACGGGAGGACTGGGTGTAAAGGCGGCATCAGACTCGCCGCCGCCCGGCCTCGCCAACGGCGGTTTTCTGACCTTATCTATGCTATTCAACGTTTTCACATCGCCCGGATTCGCAGTTCTACCATCCGGCTCTCCTCTACGTCTGCAATCACCATCAAAATCGTTCATTTCAGATATTACTCAATGCACTTTCACTCACCTGACATAACTGGTAAAGGCACCGCCTAATCTCTTCGACGGTAAAACTGTCCTGTTGAAGGGCGGCGCCACCCTTGCCACCACAGAACTCGTTTTATTCTGCGGTTTACTTGGTGGTAAAACGTTCAATTCGTTATCGGAATAAGACATGTTATCATCGACAGATGCCAACGATTCTAAGCTACTCGACGAATCTATTGTCAAACTTTTAGGCGCCTCTTGCGTATCTTTAAAAATAAAATAATATTTTTTAAAATATTGCAAAAACAAATGATCTCAAATCTTACCAAATAACGCTAATAGCGCCTGTAGCGTAAACTGTATATTCCTTCTATTGGCTTGTTTGCTTGTTCTTAAGGTCACTTTGTCCTGTCCAACATCGCACAGGTCGAAACCCAACGATGCCAAAAGCTCATGACATCCTGGTACACGCCATAATCTAAGCAAACAATTATACTTATTAATTAACACATATCTCACATACATTAAACTTGTAGCATCAATTTAAAATATAACAATTTCATGATGATTTCAAAGACCTATTTATTACCTGACATTCAATGCAATATCAACGGTGTCTGTGTCTAAGTTTTTAGTTGAAAACTGGGATAATGCAGATTGTATAACAGCGATAATGTCATCGGCGACATCAAAGTTTGAAGTTAGTTTAGATAAAGCATGGATAGAAGTGCTCGTAAGACCTAAAAAAAAATATAGAATTAATATTTTTAATAAATTAAATATTTGATTAGTACCTAGTAAAGCCTGCAAACTAGCAGAGCATTGGGTCAAACGCTCATCTGGATCACTCTGCGGAAAGAACACGCTGCTGGGAATTCCATTGGAAGCTGGTTCGAAGCGAAAACCCACGGACATCAGTAACTCCTTCCACCCGACCACAGTACCCACCTGAACATACAAAAAAATATGTTAAATAACTATATTTAGTGATCGACATATTGAAGTAACAGTACCTTGTTTTCGATGGACTTTTGAGTTGTGTACATGGCGTTCTTCTGTCCTCTGTGTATCCGCTGCAGACTTTTCTCGACCAGGTGCAAAGTGACTCGCAACGCGTCTCTGCACTTGTCCGGCATCCTCAGCAACTCGCAAAGAGCTTGACCCATCAACGCCACCTGCGTTAATTAAAATTAGCAAGAATTTCAAACATTACCAGATGCTTACCTTATTCGATAGCCTAACGTTGACGCCGACCAACAGGAAACCAGCCCAGTTGGCTGGATGTGCGAAATGCTTGGTGTGCTGTACCGTTTGCATAGCCTCGGCCAGAGCCCTGTGAACATGCATTGTTGCAATGAGTACAATACTATATATGTATACACTGGTATACTTGCCTTGCGGCCCTGGTTCCTTGCAGCAGTGAAGAGTAAAACGCTCGAAGTAGAATCTTTGTCGCCGTATCCGGTACTGGCCATAAGGAGACTAAAACTGCTTGTGCTCCGGCAGCTAAAAGCGCGCGTACCAATGCCACTAAACCGTCGGATGTTGCCCAGCCTTGTTGATCTCTCGTGTGAGAAGAACTCACCTAAAATTAAATTATATACAGATTTCTATAAAGCACACAAATAAAATCACTTACGACAACTAAACGGGCCGATAACTTGAGCGACAGTAAATCGGCGGCGCTTAAAAGGAATTCCGAAAGCGGCGGAAGCTCGGCGCTCGTCGACACTTCGCTACCATCATCTTCTTCAGCTATATCAGTCATGTAAAGTTTTGTTGATTTCGTTGGCGTTTGCTCCAGCACCTATAATCAAAATAATATGCAATAAATAACAAACTTTTGTAAATTGAATTTTAAGAAACGCACTTCTGCGGGGCTCAAGACTAATGAAGATAATTTCCATGAGACGTGAGTGGCCAGATGAACGCATTCCGCTTCTTGTATTTGGTTTAACACTTGCTCCTTCGTGGCCTGACTTCCAATCAGCGCATGGGTTTGAAGTAATTCCGCGACCATCGTGGCCTCATGCTCCGATTGTGGTATATCCTTCCATCCCCAATGTTCTGTGACGGCGTTCGGCAATTTTGGATTCCCTAAGAGTCATGAATTGTATTAATGTCGATGAAATTAAGATTTAGACAGAGAAGCCATAAAACAACACCTTATTGCATAGGCAAAGGTAACCGACGTGTAGTTGCCATCTAAGGCGCACGCCATTATACTGCGTCTGAATATTTTAAGTCTGCAATTGCGCTATTCAAATGATTACTTAACCATTGATAATAATATTTATAGTCGTGTTCTTTTTGCAAACTACTTCCTCGCATTTATTCGCGTAATGGTGTGCTCCATTTGAAGAAGCAATTTCAAATGGTATTATATTTTTTAAATGGCTTTGCATGTTCCCATCACATCGGTATTATTGCTTACTATCCTATTATATTTAGCACCGTTTTAGGGACAATGTCGGTTGTCGCAAATTATTTACTTACCAACAATAAGACTCTTAACACCGTGCTCATTGCCATCACTTTTTCTTCCTCTGGTATTCTTCAGCGTCGTTAAATTAGGTACAGAAAGCAACGAAAATCGCTCGCAAAAGTAGTCTGCCTGATCCTGCGAGCCGGAACGCAAGACCGGAAATGGAACAAGATACAAATCACCCTCCAACACCAAGATCAGTTCTCGCCTGTTCGTGCTGCTTTCGTTATTCGCATCTGCAATTAAATAAAACTGTATAATTCATCGAAATCTTTCCTAAAATCTCATCTTACTTTTACTTAGAAATTCTTCAAACGGATGTATGAGAAGCGTATACAGAGCCTGTATACATGATGGTCCTTTCCAGGGGTGAAACGTGTTTCTGATTCTAGTGCTTCCTTGGCTTGATCTTGTCGAACCTCTTAGCGAGGCTACGCTACCTCCAACACTGCCAACGGAGAATAGTGAGCTGAGGGAGTAGTTGCTCGAATTTAAAAGATGAGACCTGTTCACCATTCGCAAGAAACCTTCAAATTCCTTCATGTTATTAATTTGCTTCAATATAGAACAATGCAATAACCAAACCTGTTCTATCTGTCATGGTATCTTCGTTATACTGGTCTTCAGCAATTGGTGTGCAAGGTGATAATTCCGTACCTAAACTGTCCCTAACGGATGTCACTAATCTCTCTAATAATCCGGAACCCGAAGGGATTGGATCAATGCTTTCACCGTCCGATTTATCATTTAAGGATGTAGCATGGAATTTGACAATACCTATAAATAATATTTTCAATTATAATGTAGTCAAATTTTGGAATATACAAAGTTACCTTTAGTTGGAGCGATAAGCCATGAATAGAGAAATCCAGCTGCTATACTAAAATAAAGCACGATCGCCCTCTGCCTATTGACTATATCGAAGATCTGATCTAAACTCGTCGGACAGCAGTCTTCCAATTTGCTTCTCGACCGATTTTTGGTCTCGTGAATACCTTGCCTCTCCAGCAGTAGATCAACGAAGGCTCGATTTCGACCGCGCTCAGCGACCAATAACGCGTCCTCGGGTTTATTCAGCTCTAAAAGTTACATAACATACATTTACTTTGAAGATATCTTAAGATGATCTTACCTATAAGGATGCGTTGCAGCACTTGGTAACTGGAACTTTGCAGTTCAAATAGTGAAAGTTTGTAGTCGTGCGAGTTTCTATTATCGCGCCTGATATTTTCCAGCAGCTGCGTTGCAACCTCCAGCTGCTTTTGGGCACCTTCCAAGTCACCATTAGACCATAGTGCCAAGCCCAGACGGTTTCTTATCCTTGCCTCTTCGTCGTGCTTGTTCAGGGCTTCCGCAATGCATAATCCTTGCGTTAAATAGGAAACTGCTTGTGTTCTATTGCCTAGAAGTTGGTGAACTCTTCCTAAAGAACTGTACGCTAATGTTTTGGCAAATTGGTCGTTCGTACTAGCTGCAACTGAGAGATGCTGCTCTTGATACAAAACAGCCTGTTCTAAATTTCCTAATGATTCATAAACGGCACCTAAAAAAGATTTTTGTGTGTTAATAAAAATGTTCATAAAAATAGACTTTATTTAGTTTGTTTACCTAAATTTCCACAGGCTCGAGTCTGTATCGTCGATAGACCTAGTTGTTCGGCAATATCAAAGTCTTGTTGGTGGTAGCTGAGAGCAGTTGTGTATTCTCCCATTTGTTGATAAACGGCGCCTAAACCGCTGATGGCATCGGCTTCCATTACTCGATCATCTAAAAAATGATTCGTTAATAAAAATTAAATGTCATAAATTGTAAGAAAAAATAAATTACTTAAATCCCTGGCTATCGTCAATTGATGTTCTAAACACGAAACAGCTTGCTCTAAATTTCCTAAAGTTGCGTGCAATTGGCCCAATTCACCGTAAGCCGCAGCCTTAGCCTCGAGACTGCCCAACTCGTGAGCAACGACTAACCGTTTCTCAAGACAAACCAAAGCTTGCTGCAAATTACCCAGACACTTTTGAGATTGACCCAAACCCCGGTACGCTCTCTCCTGGTCCTTAGGACTTTTCAGTTTCAACGTAATTGCTAGATACTGTTCATGGCATTTCGCGGCTTCCTCGGGATCTCCCAAAGCATCGTAACAATCGCCCAGACTTCCAAACGCTCTGCCGCGATCCAGAGTGGCTGTGGGGTTATTCAGTCTTTCCAAAGTGGCCAACTGCTGTTCCAAATACCCGATGGCATCTTCGTAATGACCCATATTTAAGCGGGCGATACCTAAGTTTCCATAGGCTTGCGCCTCGACAGCACAATCTTGCAATTCTTGCGCTCGCTCTAATTGCTCCTGGTAGCATTTCACCGCATGTGTGTAGTTTCCTAGTGCCATATGGACGGCGCCTAAATGACCATGCGCCCTGCATTCCCCAGACAACTCGGACATTTCTTGCCTTAAAGTTAACTCTTGCGTATGGTATCCAAGAGCCTTATCTAATCTCTTCAGCAATCGGTGTGCAGTACCCAAGGCACCGCACGCCGCCGCTTCCATATTCCGGTCTCTATTTCCTCTCGCCAGAGCTAATTGACGATGGTACATTTTTATTGCTTCCTCGGTGTCTAACATTTTAATGAGAACATCCCCGATGTTCCCCAACGCTCTGAATTTCCCCGAAAGATTGCTCGTCATGTGCGCGATGGCAAGAAAATACTTCTGGCATTCCAGGGAAGTGTCCAGCTGGCCTAACGCTAAGTGCGCCAAGCCTAAATTGCAATAAGCCCTACCCATGTTCATTTTATCTTGAAGATCTTTTGCTAATGCGAGATCTTGATCGTAGTATCTCACCGCTTCCCTGAAATTCCCAATGCAGTAATGCGCGTAACCAAGAAAATGACAGGCCTTGGCTTCGCCCTCGACGTCTGAAAGTTCTTGCGAAAGCATCAAATATTGTTCGTAGTAGGGGATGGCGTCTCCGAATTCGCTACGCGAACTTAAACAGTTGCCCAAGTTAAGCAAAGCGCAGGCTTCGCCAGCCGTGTCTTTCAATTCTCTCGCGATACCTGAAGATTTAGTATAATTACTTATTTTTTAAATAAATTATTGATCGTGCACTTACCTAAATGCGCTCTATAATGTAGTAAAGCCATATCGTGGGCGCCAATTGCTTGATAAGCCACTGCTAAATTTCCGTGGGTGCTGGCTTCCGAGCTCCTATCGTGCACTTCTTTACTAATGGTCAATTCCTGCTTGTGATACTTAATTGCTGATTCATAGAATCCTGCCGCAGAATACGCGTTTCCTATATTGCCGTAAGCCCTTCCCATTCCAGCTCTGTCCTGCAAATTCCGCGCCACAGCCAAATGAGCTTGATGCAACTTTAATGCTGCATCGTATTCTCCCAACAGTTGATACACTATTCCCAAATTCGAACAAGCTCTTCCTTCGCCCACTTTATCCCTCGAGGATAACGCCATGTCCAGCTGCCTTTCGTGCCAATGTTTGGCTTGCGTGTAATCTCCAGCACATCGAGCAGCATGACCCAATCCTGCGTACGCTCTAGCTTCAACAGATCTTAAAGAAAAACATGAATTCGTGATTGTTGCATCAATATATATAACGCCAACATACTTATCTCCGATGGTTTGCGCTAGCCGTAACACCTTTTCGTGATAGACTATCGCCTGAGAGAAATTCCTGCGATAATGGTGACTCGATCCTAAATTACTATAAGCTCTCGCTTCTTCCACCTTGAAATCATTTCGCTTTAAAAATAGTTTTAATAACATTGAACATATTAAACATTGTTGGATTGTTATACCTGGTTTCCGAGTCTCCTCGCTATCCGCAAATGCTGAGTGTGGCAATCTACAGCGGAATCGAAGTCACCCATGGCTAAATATACTGCACCTACGTTTCCGATCTCCCTGGCTTCTTGCAGCCTGTCCCCCATTTGTTTGACCAATTGCACGCATTGTTTGTGGGATGCCAAGGCGTTTGGATAGTCACCTGTATTGTTCGATGCGGAGCTTAGATATTTAGAGCAGATAGGATGAACCACATACCGATCGCAGTGTACACGTGACCGAGGGATGTCAGAGCGGCTGCCGCCGCCTGCGTGTCTTTACATTTCATGGCCAAAACCAGCTGGTACCGATGGGCGGTTAGCGCCTCCTTGTAAGACCCTTGACTGAAGTACGCCGAACCTAAATTCCCGTGTGCTCTGCATTCGCCGGCCGTGTCTCCTAAACTCTTGGCAATTGCCAGATCCTGTTGCATATAACTAAAAATAAAATATAATTATATGTAAATGTAACTGTTGATCGTTCTTAATTAATTACCCTATTGCTTTGTCTAATTCATTCAATGCCCAATGGGCACTGCTCAAAGCGCTGAAGACTGAGCCGCGCAGCTTCAAGGAACATGATCCTATCCTCAGCGCGGACTCTAATACTGTAATGGCTGAATGGTAAAAACCAGCTGCCAGCAACTCCTGTCCAACCACGGAAATAAGCACGAACGGACTTTTGTCCAGCTTCATGAGCTGCAGCTGCTGAAAAGTGGGCTCCAAATTGTGTTTCAGCGGCGATTTCACCGACGCCTCCACCAGACTGGACATCAGCTGCTGCGAACTGGGATCCTGCGCCAGGCCCGAAGAAAACGCCGCCAGAGCTTCGCCATGCCGATCCAGGCATTGCAACGCCACCCCTTGTCTAATTAAACGAAAAAAAAAACGACATTCGTTTTAGTACAGGAAATTGCAATAGTAAAAAGATTTATTACCTGTAATAAGCTTTGGGCCACGTGGGGCAAAGATCTCTGGCGGTCACGGCATCCTGCAGAGCCTGAGCAAACAAGCCCTGCTTCAGTCTGGCCGCCGATCTGTTTGAATAAAGTATGTGATTTGTTGGATCCAGCTGCAATGCGTCCGTGTACAAAGCCACCGCCGTCGAAAAGTCCCCATTCTGACAAGCCGCATTCGATTGACGCACCTGCAAAACAATTACAAAAGTTAACTCAATTATAAAAAAAAAAACAATAATCTAAACGTTCGTTACCTTCTCGAGAAACAGAGATCTGTTGACCGCTGGTAATTCGGAAGTTCCTTCCGGTTCAACCTACAAACAAAATGAAGAATATAACGTCATTGCTGCATCTGCCAGCAGCAAACAAAGGATAATAACTATTTGTTGTTTTTTTTTTCATGTACGCATGTATTTTTTTTTTGTCTTATTGACAATACGAAAGCCGCCGTCTGTGTCTGTGGTCCGGGGTTTTATGAAGCGTATAATGATGGGCAATTACTCTGGATGGTGAGAGCTCAGAATGGAGCGGTTGCCGCTCGTTGGAGCCGGAAATCCTTAAACGATTTCGTCCACAGTTAATGAGACATGAACCGACCGCACCTCATCGAAATCTGTAATGGGAATCACAGAAACAACACATTATGTCGCTCACCTCGGTGAAGTCTCGATGAGACATGCTTTTATCGCCCCTCGCTGAAGAACTCTGCATCTTTGCCGCTTTTATGTGACAGCATTTCCGTAACTATCGTGGATTTCTAGAACACCAATAAACACGCTGAAACGTTCATTACGCAAGAAGAGAAATAGATACATAAAAAGAAAAAAATCAATTTAAAAATGAAGATGAAGAGGACGCATACATTCGAAGCAATCGTTTGACCTATACAATATAATAGCCTTTCAATGGCATTTTCCGAATTTGAAAAAATTCCGTCGGCGTAAATCGTGTTTCCTTCATTGTTCGTAATTTATTAAATAGCAATCCCGATGGATAATATCGCCTTTCCAAAACAACCTCGATAGCAATATCTGAAGAAAGAAGATTCAGTTTAACTTTGATGCATTCAAATGGAATTAATCGATAAGAACGTTTCTCACATATGTAGTATTATTAGCAAATACATATGCATTAGAAAGGGTGAGATATTTCACAATTGGAACGTGATTTCTAAAGGCGAACGAAGAAAAAAATACACGCACATAATTGATACATAAATCAGTTTTGGTAGAAATTCTTGGTTGTACAGGTGACTTGCTCAATTCGCTTTATTAAAATTATATGGGGGGCAAAAATGTATATAAATCTGAGAATCGTGCATCGTTAATTGCCGGTAATTTACTATATAAATCTCTTACGGACATGTTCTACTTATATAGACGTTTTAGAGTGGGATGTAGTTATCTCAGATAATGCAAGTAACGTGTATAGTAGGGATTTTAATCGTTCCGATATAAATCCAAAGTATTTAAATTTAAAATATACCCTTATACATTTATAACCAGACATTAAGTAAATTAAATATATATTTTTTATACTACCTAATATTATTAACATATTTAATTAAATATGATAACTTTATTAAAAAAAAAACTGTATAATTTAGCATAATATGTTGTCCCTCTATACACGACCTCAACCGGAAGTCATTTATAGGTTGTGACACCTACAGCTAATTAGTTTTAATTAGTTCGTGTTGTTTTTATGATGCTATTATTATTTTTTTCAGCAATTTATATGTTGTATTTCATTTATCTGACTAATTAAGATAATTCCTACTTTACAGCATTTTATAATAACGAGCGTTTCAATTCTACAACACGTAAAGTGATTGAAATCCATTCAAATATTTAAAATTTATTATTGTTCTGTCTTCAATTTACTCACATAAGCATACCTCAATTAACAAACAAAATTACTTCCTTAAACAAAACTTCGTGTCTTCTTTAAATTTTGACTTCACTTCGTTTGTATTCGTTGCTAAATTTCCACTGAAAAACCAGCATTTAATAAATTTCCAACATCCTCTTCATCGTCATTTTATGAATTGAGCCATCTAAAATACCTTTCTAATTTCATGTATGTTATTCCTTTTTTTTAGTCCAACTACAATTTTGTGTGACTTAAATTGGAATATCAGTTATGTTAAATGGGGCTTGAATCTGCGGACTTCGTTATATAGAAGCTTCGTTATAAGAGTTAACTGAGGTTATTTTATAATGAAGAAGCATTGTCTATTCATAATCAATATTTGCGCACTTAAAGCGTTAACTGCTTCAACGGTATACATATTCAATTTGAACATTCCTTTCTTACTTTGATACAATTTTTTGTCTCTTTGATTACAGAACGATGTTATTAACAAACTTATTATGTACAGCAAACTCATAGGTAACAAAGTTTTGTTTCGTTGGAAAACGTTTATATAACCTGATTGAGGCAATGTACACTTACTTGTCCGTGGCTACTATATACTGTTGTCCATATCAATGAGCTCAGCATACGCTCGATCATCCAACATTTCTTGTAAGTGGTAAATGAAATACGTGTTTCTTTTATTATTTCTTTCATCAAATACAATTTAATAATTCAACTAATTACAAAAAAAAAGTATAATAAATTAATTAATTTTAAACTGTTTCTTATTCATAGGTCATATTCAAACATCCACGCATTTTTTTCATAAATTTAAATCAAACTTTATAAATAACTGTTAGGAAAATTTTATACATAATTATAAAGTGACATACGACGTATTTCTGATCACACGTGTATATTAGTCAGTTTTGCATTGTTATTGTTTATATGTTTGTTATTTAATTATTTCTGGTTCAGTAATAAACGCTTTGAAAATTATACATAATCTTCTACTACATTTGCATTGCATTTCAATTTGCATTGTTACACGAGACTAAATATGTAAATTAATTCACAACGTCTGTATTACATCTTGCAAGTTTAGTTTTAAAAAGCAAAAAAAAAACAATAAAAAAAATATATAAAATAAACTATGTGATATTGTGAATGTATCAATTTATAAGTTAAATATAATATTTATTGGAATCATTGCATCTGAATGTATAAAATTGAAATAATAAGGCAAACTGCATGGTAATAATTCAGTATCCACTTAATGATTTTTTTCTTAGCATTAATATTTAACACCATTCTGTGACAGCTCATTTCCTATTGCAATGGAAAGTCGACTACTTAATAATAGTTCATAAGCTAGGAACACTAGTAGAAGCTAATTACATATTTTATTAAAAAAAAATGATCTTAAAACCAAACCAAAGAGAAAATTGCATTATTTTTCAGCATAAATTTCGATTTTTAAATTGCAGTAGATATTAGATAAAAACAGCTTCAATCAGTCAGGATTACATAAATAATTGTTTTTACTTTATACAGTCAAGTCTATTTTTTTCGTTTATTTGTATTTAGTTCCTTGATTAGTCCGGTTTCAAAAAGTTCGGGATAATAGCGAAACCAATCTCGCACAATACGAGATATTGCTCTATACATTTTGACGTATAAATTTGAAAATTAATCTCCAGTTCAAAATTTCAAACTTAATTTCTATTAAAATGATAGAAACTTTCTTCCAAAACTCGAATGAGAACTATATGACTATAAAATATCTCTGTATTTAACAGACATTCTAACAATTTTAATATTCGGTCTCTTATAATTCAGAGTCAAAGATGAATTTGATTTGATTTAACCAAACATAATAAATTTACTATAAATCTACATTAGTATCTGCTAATTAATCCAATATTAATTAGATAAGATTAAATTATTGGTTAAGATTTTAGAATAAGTGCAGATCTAAGATTGACATTAGAAAAATCATAGTTTAGACTGCAAATAAAGTTTAATTACTAGAACTCAAATTTAGAATGATGATGATTTAGTTGAAACTATAACTTTTTTCAGAGCTTTCTACGGGAATTATAATATGCTTAATTCACTTAAAAATGAAGTTCTAACTAAATTACAGTAAATCTGCAAAATCATGCAATTTCATTTTAATTAATAATTAAGAAAATAATTGATGTTTTATTTCATATAAAATATCTTTTACTTTTTATTTGTTTAAGTAAACACTCGTTTACTATTCATAATCACACTGTTTGTTGGAAGGTTTCTTTACTAATTAACCATCAACCACAAGGTTCTTCAATAGTGTGTGAACAGAAATTGTATAAAATATGATTAAAATGCTATTTTAATTGCTTAATTCCATTATTTCTACGTTCATGTTTTTAACGTTTTTATTACAAGAAGAATATTAAATAATAATTTCATTATGTAATAATCAATATTGTTATTATGTTATTTTGAAATTAATAGAAATCCCCTCAGCTATGGTTTATACATTTATTAACTAAATTGAAATTGTGGTTAATATGCTGAGATTATACTGTAATTAAACTTTAATTAATAATACATTTAATTAATAAAATGTTTTTGTTGTAGTGATATTTTTATTTATTTATTTGAGGATTAACGACCTGAATCTGTGAATTGACGTAATCTATGTATTATTATTATTGCATTCGTTGATGTATCTGTGCTTGTTTCCTACCTGCCCAACAATCAGGAAACTATTATTTTATATTGTTATTATTAAAGCACTTTTGCAATATAAATATGATAATGTAATGAATATTAATATTACATGAGTATTTTGGTATATTAGAAGTTATATTATTGATGAATCAAGGGTGATTGAACTAATGAAACTTACTTCATATTGAAAATGCATTAAACCATTGAAAATAAACAATTTGATATCCAATGTTTGGTGGAAGAGCACAGATCACTAAAGTTTTCCTTTTAGAAAGTCCCGAGAAGAAAAATCTTCGTTTTTCCGCTCACACACACACACGCACCAGCAGAGGAAGTAGAGGTTTAAGGGAAGTGGTTGTAAGATGTTAGGAAGTGAGAGAAGGAAACGTTTCACTGTGCACTCTGTGTATAAATTGAATTTCGCTTTAAAATATTATGTAGTGCGGATACACATTCCAATGGCCAATCGCCATCTTAAACCGCTCTCAAAAGAATTCTTTTTCTCCATCCCGTGTGCAACAGGTAAAAAGAATCGGTCGCACCGCAATTCCACCGGCAGCGAATACCTTCAAAGGTCATCCACACCTCCTACACTGGGTTCCCGTGATGGATTAGAAGACGTCCAAGTCCGTTCGTTTCGGGATTAGCTTTTCGCACGATGTCCGCAGCACTTAATCCGTGTTCGTTGCGCGTGGAAATGATGCCCGTTGTTGATCCAGTGAAAGCGGCAGCGCCGACGAGATCACCATCTCTTTTTTTCTTCGCGTCTCTCGGTGCCGTGTGGTACCTTGATGGAATAACGCGGTACCTGTTGCAGGTACCACTCGCGCTCGCTTGCCCCCACCATCCGCCCCTATGACCACTCGAGTGGAGCCGGGCGACCGCGTCCGTGTTTACTCTTATTTTCACGTACGATGGTCTCTTCTAATTCTATCGGTCATCCCGAATTTCGGGTCCTAGGGATGCCCTGCAGACAAACCGATCCACCTTTATTTGATCACAATATTGGGGATGATGTTCTTAGTTCAATACAGCGCACCGGCATTCGTATTGACAGGAATGTTTATCTTCAATGCCGACAAAGCACACCTTGATCCATTAGCATTTTAACTTCAATATATAGACAAATATAGTGTTAAACAAGAAGGACAAACTCTTGGTTTCACATAGATATATTTTCATTAGAGAAAGTCATAGATTGTTTAAACTATTTCAACTAATTATTCCATATTATTTCATTTAAAAAAGTACAAATATTTAAAGTTCATAAACTTGCATCAATATTACAATTTGGGCAACATCAATGGTTTAAATGTTTCTATTTATTGTTCAATTTTACTGAAAAACTGTTCTATAATGCCGACAAAGCATACTTTGATCAATTAGCATTTTAACTTCAATATGTAGACAAATATAGTATCAAACAAGAAGTACAAACTAATGTTTTCACATAGAAATATTTTCATTAGAGAAAGTCACAGATTGTTTAAACTATTGCAACAAATTATTCAATATTGTTTTATTAAAAAAATGATAAATAATGAAAGTTCATGAACTTATTACAATTTGGGTGGATAGACTTACAGTCAACAGCGATTATTTTGTTAATTAATTAAGTTTATTAAAAATCTGGTGTTAATCTTCAATGTATATTTTTAACAATTAACATTTTAGATTCAATATATCAGAAAATGTAGGACAGAAAAACTATTGGATTAACTCACAGACATTTAAAGACAGAGAATCACAAACATCTAAAACTATTTTAATAAATTATTAAATATCAGTTTATTCAGAAATGTAAAAATTTTATAAACTTATATTTACATTATTATAAATTGGCAAAAACCAACCAGAGTTGGTCTTTAATGAACATAAACTTTGTCTATAGGTTCCTAAAATTTTGGAAAAAAATCAAATACATTAAATATTACAATAATACGACAGTTTCAATCTAAATTCACAAATATAATAGATTTCAGATGAATACGTTGAAGAAATTATTGTTTAAGCCAATTGTTTTCAAGCAAAATATATTCGCAACGTTTTTTTCAGAAATCTTGCTATTTCTCTGTCTTTTCTTTTTAACAAAAAAACAGATTAAAAAAAACTAATTATTTGGTGAGTGGTATCCTTTGCCACCTCAGGTATAAGAGAATGGCGCTAGAACAGAGACGATTTACAAGATTAATAGGTCCTAACACCCAAAAATACATTCTAACTAATGCATGGATCTTCATGGTTTATTTTAACTGAAAATATATGAACTAAACATTTATTTTTACCATTTTTTTTAAATGTTGAACAAATAATTTTATCTAAGTTTTTTATATATAATATTTTGATCAAGACCAATGAAGCTAAAGTTCTGACAAATCTCATCAGTTTTTGATATTATTTCAGTTGTAAATATGTGAACTAAACCTTAATACGATGGAGTATAGACATATTTTTTAATCATTGAATGGATACATTTATTCTTATAATTAATTCATATTTATTATCTTATTAGAATGTTTAGATAAACAGATCAAAGTAATACTAATTTAAATTATTATCATTTCATACACATTATTAACAATTCATTCAACTTATGCAATTACTTCTATAGCTATTAGATTCAATCTAAATATTAAAACTAAGGTAGGCAACTGACTTGTCACTTGAAAGTTTTTTTTGTTACTCAATTATATAATGTATAAAGCGCCATCTATTACCACAAACGTATACAAGTATTAAGTAACAAAGAAGAAAATGATAAAATAAGTAATTGTGTTTATCGTTTCCAGTCGTCTTTAACCAGCTGTTGACATATCCTTACAATTCACTTTTTATTTGCTTTGTTTTATCGATTATAAAAGTATGATCATCGCATTTGTGTACACAAAGTCATTCACCATTTCGTTGTTACTTAGCATCATTACGTTATCACGTTCAGTTTGGAATCTGTTATCTAATAAACAACAAAAGTCATAGATAAAGAATTTCGGTAGTCTTAAAGTCTTATAGAGAGAACGGGAGGAGGACAAGTACAAATAAATGCAATCAGAAATGGTAATCAAAAAGCGTAAAGACGTGTACAAAAAGTGAGTACTGCCGGATTTTTCTTTTTCTCTCTAAATTTTTGTAACAAAAAAAAACTAATTAGTCACGCTCCTGTTCTCTTCCGCAATTTGTTCCTTTACACGTACATTTCTCTTCCATCGTTTGTATGTTCTGTTCTGTTATCCGCTATTCAGTCTATACTGCTCTGCTCTGGTGGGGATAGTCTGTTTTGCTCTATTGATTTTTCCAACTTGTTGATCTGCTTCACATGAGTTCTGAATCTGTTTCCTCCATTGGCAGTGGCGAACAACTTGTTGGTCTCTTAAGGTAATAAAAACCCCTGCAAAGAGACATACAGTCCTACCGTAATTGCAACAGACCGGTCCGTCTCACCTGTGCTTTTCTTGCGTTTAGGGTTGGGAAGATGGAAGCCCGAGCGGAGCACCAGTCCTACAAAAGGTACAAATCGTTGTACACCTTCACCAGCCTCGTAGGATGTTCCCTGATAGTCCTCATCGTCGTATGGTGCGTCGAGTTCAGGGGTGGATTTGCATGGAAATCCAATCCCAAACTGCAATTCAATTGGCATCCACTCATGATGACCATAGGTCTCATATTCATGTTCTCGCAAGGTAATTACATACTTTTTTATATATCTAATTCTTATTAATACCGTTAGAACTCGCATCAGATACAAGAAACAGCAACATAAAAAGATTCATATTCACAGCAACGAACGGAATAGAGAAAAGAACAAAGAGAACGTGCAACGTTATTTATAATAACCCATTTCCAAGATATGCCATCTCGTTTGGAAATTCCGAACAAAAATTAACATTAAAAGAAACGCAATAATTCTTAACTTTACGTGTAATCACAAGAAAACGTAATCAAATTAAAGTAACTTGTTTTTCTTTTTTCAACGCAAAGTATTTACTCAGTTTTACAAGCATATTTATCTTTTAAAGTAGCGGTAAAAATAGACTTTTTTTTGCTTTATTTTTAACACTGTTTTCCTTTGAATCTCGCCTACTGTGTAAATATTTTTTTTTTTATTAAGCCGTCTAGATATATTTTTAGAAATTAATTGAAAACAATGAAATTAAGTTTTTAATAAAATGAATTGCGAAAATAAATGGGTAAAGAGAATGGATCAAGATTTGGAGGAAATTGGGTGATGTTCATTCCATAAAAGAGATTTTCCAGACGGTCGGGTTCGCCATGAAATGGGTTTGGGGGGATGGCGGAAAGGGAAAATTGAAGGGTCATAATATGTCGGGGGGAAATTGCGCAGTGATACACGTTTCCCAGGGGCTGCTGCAACGTTGCACAGCTTCGATCCCGAAATCCCAGTTTGATTTCATTAAATTTATATGCGCGCAGACTTGTTGGTCGTCTACCAAAAAAAAAAACCATGACCTTTATTAATATTTACAATAATTATTATGCAGTCTTGTTTAAAATTAATCAATTGAAATGAATTTTATGATAATAATTAATATAATAATAACACAATTTATTGTATAATTACATAAATAAATACAGTCAAAAAAAGTATGAAATATTGATACTAAAAATTATAAATAAATAAGGATATTAATCTTTGAAATAAACCGCACTAAAAGAGACTTAACTGGATTCCCAACAATCATTTATGTATAAAAAAATAATAATTTTGTATACTAATTTTTCTCAATTAAAATTTACAAACAATTTTAAAACCGTACTATAGTGAATCCGGACTGATCAAAGCAGCACTATGCGAGGTATTTCTATACTTATTTCAGATTGAATTCGATATTAATCGAAAGTGATGTAAACAATGACTGATGAATCATGTACATATCCGCAGTATTTTACTCAATCATATCTAAAAAGTGAAGTAATTCTTTTGAAGTTTATTGACTAAATTAGAGATTCACTACACAATTCTACCAGACTATATTTCACAAATTAAGTAGTAAATATTTAGATATGTTTTTAGAAGGATAATATTGAGTTTAATAATCAATTTAATACGTAAATGTATCTTCTTTATTAATTAAAAAAATAAAATTAACATAAATAATTACAGTATGAATAATTGTATCAGTTTAGAATGTTAATTTTTAGCTCAAAAAATGTGTTTTTAACTTGATTTGCTTATTTTTTTTTTTTTTTAAGAAATCGATCTATTTGAACATAAATTTTGTAATTATAGAATCAATATATAATTACTTTTTTCTGCGTTTTCAATGTTACATCCAACACAGAACTTCATTCTAGTCGACTAACCAACCTTACGACCTCAAGATAATAACTCATATGTAATCAATAATTATAGCTCGATAATTATCCGTTTTATTGTTGTAAAATATGCCGACTCGTGCAGCTGTATATTTAGATTATAGTTTTATGGAATTACTAAATAAATCCATGCATTTAAAGTTATTAGAAATCTCGGTTAATCGGTTAAACAAATAGTTTGCATTGCTGAGTATTTTCACGTAATTTTATAGCATAACGATTTTAAATTGGAGAAAATAATTGTGCCATTGAAAATTATGAATTATTTATCTATTTTACATAGTATAATTGTTAAATAAGTCTATGGATTAGAACAATTCTATGTTATTTTAATTGTTGAGTACCTCGAATAGTCCGGCTTCTGTCAGTGCGACTAGCCAGATTATGCAATTTCAAGTAAATTTGATGCTATGTTATTTATGCCTAAATAATTCTTCACTTTATGCACCTCGTTCAAGTTTTATGCACCTCGTTTATATGAATTCTTGCTGGGTTAATATTCTGCATTCTTAAGATATTTCACATTCTCGGATGGCGATATTACTTTGTTGATGAGGGTATCTCATGAATAAAGGGCCATTCTTCGTATTATGTACGTGACTTGTATAGGATTCTCTTAATTGTTAAAATACTACTTGAATTTTTTATTTCATTATTTATTTATTTATTCATATTTAATAATAGTAATCTTTATTGTAGCAGTCAAAAACAAAATTAAACATTTCCATTCACAACAACAATAATAGAAAACAAAAGATTAACTGTTACAAAGGACTGTTGACCATAGGTTATTTATATTTGTTATAGGTGTGTCAATATTTAGTAGATTACGAAAGTTACACTTTGGTTTTATTCAAGTTTTTAAGTTTAACACTACATATATTCAAACAATTCCAGCGTTTCTCATCCTATGGACAGCGAAATGACAGCTGTCACCTTGCGTCAAAACGTCAAAAAATGTATACTACAAACAATTGGGTCGCTGTACAACTACAAACAAGTTGGGTCACGTGACAAAAATGTTGAGAAACACTGATTATCCCCCACGTATGCTCCATTTTAGAGAAAATATTTGTAAATTCAAAAGCTAACATAATTTCCAATGCACTAATATAATAACTTGCTATAATGTTTGACGTGAGAATTAGTAGTATCCACGAAATCTTACGTTCCATAAAGATTGTTTTGTTGAAACTTAGTAAGCGCATAATTTTAATATACATTTATACAGAACAATTCAATTGCAATTGGTGGGAAAATAACAGAGAACGTTTGCTCAATTAGCAGATTATCTCATTAAAATTAAAATTCTATAATTGACGAGAAACTGAGTTTAATTAGTGTTTAGACTTTAATTATAATTTCTATTAAGAGTTTGCTTAATTAAGTTTTATTTATTTTTTGATATTGAAGAGTATTTCCTCTGGAGCTGAAATAAAAATCGCGAATTTCAATCCGAAATACAATTTTCACCTTGCAAATAGAAATCGTCGATGCACCTGGAATGTGTATGCATTCATTTTTTTTAATTTTATATTGCTTTTGGATGGCGTGCGCGATATGCGCAACGTATTGATTTCGAATTTTGTGTGATAGGGCTCGACGTAATTTATGCTCCTCGATTTTATTCTCTTTTTTTTTTTCATATCCGGCTGGAAAGTTTCTATTTCGTTTCACTCGACAAACAATCGATTTGTACATTAATGGGAAAACTGAAATAGATTGAATTGAATTCAGTTGACTTACAGATTTATTCATTATCTGCGGTTTGAGTCATCAATGCAATAATTCATTATTTTCTTGTGTATTAATTCATGAATTTTGTTTTCGATGTTTTTTAGCAATGTTGATTTACCGAACGGGTAGAGGTGTTACGAAAAGGTCGTTGAAAATCCTGCACGGATTCATTCATCTTGGAGCTTTCGTCTGCTCAGTGTTCGGTTTAGTAGCCGTCTTTGATTTCCACAATAACTCTGTTCCACCCAAAGCCAACCTGTACACCCTTCACTCTTGGCTCGGACTTATATGCGTGATAATGTTCACATTGCAAGTAAGTAGAAGAAGATAAAACATTATTTTGTTATTAAATTTAATATCTGCTTCCTTGAGGTTTGTAAATTTAAAAAAAAAGGTTTAAAATACACCAATACCTCGGATTGTGCGTTCCGCAAATATCCCGTACTAATCGAGAACATAAATGCGTACCAAAAAAAGACTTGATTATGAAAATAAAATTATGTACTAATTTTTTAGAATTTATTTTTGCTCAATTATAATTTAGTTTGTTTCAATATGTTTATAATTAATTTAAATGTTAATAATTTTACTTGAAATCAGTTAAACTAATTTTTGTGAATCATGAATGAATCAACAAAGAAATTTCCGATATTGACTTTGGAAATATCCAAATTATTGATACAGATAATGAATATATCGGAAAACATTTAGTAATCAAGGCAATGTTCTAATTTTTTAGAGTCTAATAGATTCATATATTTCTTGAGGAACTTGAAGAAATTATATCAATTTCGAAGAATGCAATTTTTCTGTTTTCAGACAAGCAATTAAAGAACAAAGATTATTTATTTCAGGTTTTGATAAAACTAATGATTTCGGACTAATAGAAACCGCACTATGCGAGGTATTGCTGTATTTAATTTTGTTATATTTAGAGTTTTTAAGTTATAAAATATTGAAGAACTTGACATTTTTATATTAATATTTTCTTTAAACTCTATTATTTTTAAGCAAATCGTTTTTTCTGTGTATTTACACGATTCGAATTGGAAATACGCGAATTTGTAAATTATTGTTTTCAGAGGTCGTTTTTATTATGAATGTCGAAAATAACTCTCATGTTTCTTGTAGCTCGTCGGAGGATTCGTAACGTTTATGTATCCTGGTTTAAGCAGGGAGATTCGTAAAATATCGCTTCCCGTTCACGTGGCCGTGGGTATTTCCCTCTTCGTGCTTTCCGTCTGCACTGCCTTCATGGGATTGCAGGAAAAAGCGATATTCGCAATGTAAGCTTAACCAAAAAAAAACAGCTAATTTTCATAATTTTATGTTTGTTTACGTTTTGCAGTGACGACTACGCCAGCTTTTCATCGGAATCCCTTCTAGTCAACTTCACAGGTTTAATTCTTGCCCTGTACGCCACATTGGTGCTATACCTAGTCAACAACACCGAGTTCAAGAGGACCGCTTTGCCCGAGGAGGAGTTGGCACTATCCGGACACACCGAATAGGATCAGATCCAGATGGCGGTTTTAATTTGAACGTCGTATCCTTCCTACTGCTATACATCCAATATTCTATATCATGATTATATATAATAAGTGTTGTCTCAATATATATATACATATACGTTAATTGATGTGCACACTATGTTATTAAGGTGCTATGTAATCAGAACTATAATAAACGATGCAATTAGGTATGCGTATGTATCCAGTTGCGCAAATAAATCGATTTACTTATTTACTTTAAAACGCCAATCATACATTAGTCTACTATTTCATGCATTCGCAATTAAACAGATAAATAGTTAAAGAGCAATTTGATATACCGTAATTAAATGGTTTGTAATTTAAGAACGAAGTATCTGTATGCATTCCCAACTATATATTTATTAGAAAGTTTACAACTGAAATTAATCAACCTGATTATTTCTTGAAATTGAGATTTAAGTAGTCAAAATTTATTAAGTTGATACTAATAAGCAATTTAATTTATAGAAATGAATATCTTTGATCAAATAAGAAAAAAATGTATGTTTAGTTGCCTTCCTTACAACATACATTTGTTAATGAAATTTAATACGTACATTACAAATGGGTCTATATCGCAAGCCCGACAACCGAAAGACTGTTTATTGAAATCCCGACTGTATCGAAATCCCGACTATATCAAAATATCGACAACCATAATGCCGACTGTATCAGAATCTCGACAACCATAATCTCAACAAACATAATCTCGACTATATCGAAAATTTTTACAATAAAATTTTAAAATTATTTCGGAATGTATAATAAATAATTAATGTATAATGTATGTTTAATAATAAAATGTATAATTAATAATAAAAGTGTAGCACAAGGTGACCACTTTTATTATTAATAACAATAAACTATTATTAATTTATTTGATTTTGTTGAATTATTCATAATAAACCTTAATATTATGAAATAATCTCAAATATAATTAGATTATTAATTGTTATTATTTATTATTAATAACAATTTAAAAGTCACTACGCTCCGGAATAATTTAAAAATGTTATTTTAGACATTTTCGATATAGTCGGGATTTTGATACAGTCGGGATTATGGTTGTCGGGATTTCAATACAGTGGACATTTCAAACGTCGGGAATTTGATTGACGGTATTTCGGTTGTCGGACTTGCGATTGCCACCGATTACAAATACACCAATAACTCGTATAGTGCGGGTAATCGGATTCGCCAATATATCGGTCTGTATGAAACCATTGTCATAAAATGATTAATTCATGAATTATGTATTAGTTTATTAAATTACTATATTTAACGTTTGAAAATAGCAATTAAGATTAGTCCATTCCAGCGTTTCTCAACCTTTTTGGTGATTCTAACATATTTTTTTTGACACTTTGAGTCAAGGTGACATCTGTCATTTTGCGAGTCTTTAAAAATTTAATGTGACCCATAGATAGAGAATCACTTGTGTTTACTACAATTATTAACAGAAACATTAAAAAAATAAGAAAAGTTTCTTTAGTTTTTTCTATTATTCGTTTATTTAAATAATTTTTGAATTAAATATTCCTTAGAAAGACAAATGTATTCAACTTAGAACAGCGTTTTCCAAACTGGGAGACGCGAATATTATTCACAGTGAGCAATTTTCCAAATGACTGCTAAAGTTTTATCAATTTTATGAAATGTGGGGGGGGAGACGCCAAATGATTAAATATTTTTAATGGAGGCGTAGTAACATCAACCTTGGAAACCACTGACTTAAAGGAACATAAAGTTCTTTGATATACCATTAACAAAAATATGCGCAAACTCTAATATTCCATTTTTTTAGGTAAGAGAAAATAAAAATATTCACTAATTGATTCATTTTTATTTATTCTTGTAGTATTTGTATTAATTTTCAACATGGAACTTTAATACACGCTGTAACCTCAGTTCTCGAACAATTCGGTTTCCGCACATCAAACCAAAAGAAACACAACAAAATATAACAGTTTTCGAATAGAATTTCAATTTGTGCACAAGAAAATTGGTATTAGACTTTTCAAATTAAAACACAAATGTAAGTTCCATATTTTTGATCTAGTTATATTTACATTAACTCGTCCTTTTTCATGATCTTTTACATCTAATACTATCGATTTTTTAATACGACTAAAATCCAAGACTTAAAACCTAATGACAATTCTGTTTCTTTAGTAACAAATTTTGTTTTCCAAATTTTAATATTTTCTTAAGAAGTGACTAAATTTGAAAGAAATCAAATAATTGGACTGCGCTAGGCATTTCAGTTTTAAAATAATCGTATAATTTAAGATCAGAATTGAAGAAAATTGTAGGAAATATTTTTAAATAAATGTAAATTACGAGTAAGTATTAATGCAAGGTAATTGTATTTATTGTGGAGAAAGTTTATATACAGTAGTTATTGATTGATTCATCTGCAGTGGTTCTTGTAGGCGACCCAAGCATTGAAGCCGTTGCCGGTCAACCTCTGGTGCTCTTCGTAGATGATTTTGGCGCACTTGATGTCGTTGGTAATGTCAGCATCCCTCAAAGAATTGCAGGTCATGCCACATCCCTTGCCTATAAAGCAAAACACGAACATTACACGTACATCAAACAAATAGACTAGATATTTACCTGGTGGAGAGCACCACCACCTTTCGTTGATTTGGAAGATTCCGTGATCTCCGCTCGCAGTGTTGTGGGCGGCGGTGTTGTAGCTGGATTCCCACTTGGCGATGCACTTCCAGGTCTCGATTTGTCCCTTCGGGATGCCGTTGGCTAACATAACGTTACCAAACTCAGTTGGCGAGAAGACTTTGGCGAAGTTTGGGGTCACCAAACCGCACAGGACGATAGCGCAGATTGCGAATTTCATCTTCAAAACAGTAATAGTTGAAAAACATAATTTGTAAATTTGTTAGTTTATACTTACGGTTGCTGCTACAATTTCTAGTATGATTTGAAAAGGAGTTTCCTGCGCCTATTTATACCGAAAGTTATCATCCAATCAACGAAATAATATAATTAAGGATTTATCAATTCACTTCAAATGTATTACCAATATCTAATATACACGTCATAATAAGCAATCGAATGTGTAAGGAAATATATATTTTAAATCAACAGTAACATCCGATATAAATAAATAAAGATTATATTCGTTGATTCAATAATGAATATATTTTCAAACCTAACAAAGATTTTAATAAATGCATTCAATTATTAACAGAAATCACAAATAAATTAGTTTGAAGTAAGCATTTTTTTCTTCAATTATTACATTCAATAAATAATCATCAAATCTTAGACATAATAATAATAATTTATAACTGTCAAAATGACATTGATCTTTGTTTTAAAATGTCTAACAAATGTAACGTTTCAAGCATGCAAATAATATGCATATTTTTAAGTTTTCCATCGATTCCGCGCGAATTTATATTTTTATTCTACTATAAAAATAGCGCTCGAGGCACTCGTCCAAAAAATCCGAATAGATTCTGTAAACAAAATACGATTTATCCGAAGAGTATCCAATTCAATAGCTATTTACGCTTTGTTTATTTATACCTAAAGTTTCGCATTTACACTGGATAATCTGGTTGAAGATGTACGGACAGTAGATATGTTAGTTTATTTTGAACACACGCTTTTTCTTTACAACCAGGAGAGTTTGTTTGATTTATCTGTAAAGAATCATTCATTTATCTGCCATCACAGAAGAAGTACCAATAATTTGAAAATTGAATTGAAATAATTCAATTTATTTTTTTTAGTGCTACTTTGAAAGACATTGGCTATAACCTGAATGATCTCGTTAAATTTATTTTTATGATTCAATACGAATTTAACGTCAACTTTATAAGCAACTCGACTATTTTCATGATCTGTAAAGTGTATAACTTGTATAACTTGTTAATAAGATTAAAATACAAGACTTATGTAAACTTTAGAGATAAGAAATTGTGATCGTATATTGCAATATATATATTTTTCTTAAATCAATGTTATTCAATTTAATAGACTTAATTACGAGCTTAATATATTGGAGATAAAATCATATGAAACGACGAAAATCAAAATTATATCTGATTTTTTTTTATATAAACTTATCATAATAAACAAACGTCAGAATTTTGACATTTATGAAATCATTCATAAACGTCAAAATTTGGTCTAATTTTGAAAAGAAATATATTTTAATTTGATGTATTTACGTCTTCAATGTATTTTTTTATATATAAAGTTAATACTTAATGACATTTAAACTTATTTTCATTTTTTGCTTAATACGTTTTTAATAGTACATTAAATTTTAGAATTACGTTTTAAAAATTGATGTGAAATCCATTGCTGTTCTTAAAAAAACTTGGTCTTGGTCAACATCACGTTACCGAATTCCGTTGGGGTGAAGACCTTGGTCATTGTTGTCCTGAACAAAGCGTACACGCCGAGGGCGACGACGAGGAATTTCTTGATTGAATGTCTAGAAAATTATTGAAATTGTTTTAACGTAATTAATTATAGAGATTTATACAAAAATTCAAAAACTGTACACTTACTCCAGCTTCACGTTCACGTTTTGCAATCTTCGTTATTAAACAATATACATCTATGTTGTAATCTATTTTTCTTAAATTTAATATTAATTAAAAATTGTTTTTTTAAGAAATATTTTAGTTGTTGTTATTTAACATAAATGTCAATAGTTCAATTATGATAATGTTAAAATATAAAATAATAGAAATAATAGGAAACCTTAAAATTGACAGTTTGTCAAAAGTCAAATTTTAGATGAAGTTATACTGTAATACTTTTCCTGATTTAATTATTTAAACATGACATATTGGATGAAGTAAAAAGTTCTGAACGTTTTTCGTTACATGGCTTTAGTAAGCCATATCTCACGATGTATAAGTTGCCTCTTGTCATTCTATACTGCGACTTAAAGGCGACATAACGCTTTTAAAAAAGTTCTTTGAAAGTTTTGTGTTTAGTGAATCCAGTTCTGTGGTAGAGCGTTCCAAAATGAAGGTATAAAAAGAGAAAATTCGATACATTTTTCAGTACCACTACGACCAAGGATAAGTGGAGTAGGAACCAAAAAAAATGTGTTGTTTATGGACCCAATACAGTATCGAATGCAATAGCAAAGCGTTGGTTGAAATGCTTCCATTCTGATAATATGGATGTCGAAGATGAAATATGAAGATGAGACAAGTTGGACCGGCATGCGAGCACTTTTTCCATTGTCCAGGAACTGAAGATTAACCAGAAAACCGTTTAGAACCATTTGCATAAAGCTCAAGAAGAAGCTTGATGTATGGGTGCCACATGTATTGACGCAAAAGAACCTTTTGCAGCGAATTGATGCCAGCGATTCTTTGCAATGAAAAATGGGTCACATACGAGAACAATGAAAGATGAAAACCGCGGTGAGTCGGCCAAAACAATCGCCAAGCCCGGATTAACAACCATGAAGGTTTTGCTGTGTGTTTGGTGGGATTGGAAGGAAATCCTCCACTATGAGCAGCTCCCATCGGACCAGAACTGACCAGATTTTAACAGGCTTCTCGTCAAGCATCCAGAATTGTGTTCCATCAGGACATCGCCAAACCGTACACATCTTTAAAGATGCGCCAGAAGCTTCGAGAGCTTGGATGGAAGGTTATATCGCACCCGCCGTATAGGCCAGACCTGGCGTTTGCAAAATTTTCTTGATGGTTAAAAACTGGCCTCAAGAGAGGCTTGTGAAAATGAGCTGGTTAAGTCTTTTACCAATAGAGACAAGGATTTCTTCAATCACAAAATTATGAAACTGTCTTTAAAATGGACAAAATTTATGGAACGAAATAGCGCATATTTGATCTAAATCCAAAAATTTTAACTTTGTTAATTTCATCGTCGAAATAATGAGAATAAAAGCTCAGAACTTAAAAAAACTACTAACAATTAGGTCGCAGTACAACTACAAAGAAATATATTGGATCACGTGGATACGCAGGTTGAGAAACGCTGGTTCAATTTATTCAACATTTCTAAAAATTCTATCTTTTTATTTCAAACTCAGCAAATGAAAATAATGAAGTAATAATAGACAAAAAAAATGTATGGTTTGATATGATTGTAAGAAAATCACTGAATTTACATTAATTTACAAACAATTCAGTTTAAATGTGTTTTGAAATTTGTCTATTGAAACTATAGACGTCTGTCAAAAGTCATATTTGAAACAGCTCCTAATAAGCAGTATAGTAGTGAGTTTCCAGTAACATATATATCAGGTAAACATTGTTGTATACAACTAACTAATTATAACTCTTCTCTTGTACAGGAAAGTACCAAACGCACCGTTACTTCTTCGATGCTTTAAAAGTCCATGAATGTAGTATTGTAGCGCCAGTTTACAAGGCACAACATCATTTATGTAATATTTACACATATCGTACAATAGTTATCCGTAATGCGGACAGTTAAAAAATAATTACACCTGCTAATAATAATAAATATCGAAAAGGAAACAGAAGACACTGCCGGAATATTAAAGTGGCAAATATCGATGGAACTTCCCATTGCATTATTTACATACGCGCATGACAATGCACATTTTAATGTCGACATGAAGTGTGTCATTTCCTTCAAGTTGACGTCCTCTAATTACAAACTATCATATTTATATAGTAAATTACTGGATAAGATAAAGTACACAACTATTATTAGTCAGTGTTGCAACGCGAATTTTCCAGCTTTACACATTTATAATAAATAATCTAATTTTTTGTTGCCATCAAATTTGTATTTGTATAATCTATTATTAAACAGTTAAATTACGATAATAATTTAATCAAAACACTTGATACCGTTAGTGTGGAAATAGTTATTTCAAAGAAAAATAAAGATAGGTGTGTTTTTTGTAAAAAAAAAAAACAATTAAGTTGATTATTGACATTAAATACTTGTTCAACCAACAGCAGGTTTTTGGATGATAAGGAAATGTAACCATATAAATCGATCACATGTTGTTTTTTCATTTTAATTTTATTTGGGTTATCGAGACCCAAAAATATTCAAGTACACTTCTTCCACTCAGCTTTTTATAAATATGTACGTTAATTATAACTGTTATCAAAAAATAAGTAACGTGATGCATTTTTTTTATTCAATTTTGTTACAACCATGTTGACTTGATTTCGTAGTCAATCACGATAATGCAATAGCAATAATCTCAATTGCAATTAACGTCCAATTTAGTGCTAATTACTAATTAATTAATCAGTTTATCTCTTGAATGTTGAACGGCATGTATTCACGTATAATTACTGTCAAGCCATATATAATCTATTCATCTAATAAATCGTATTATCGAGTAACGGAATAAACAAAAGTTAATCGCTGAAGTAAATGAAAGATGATTTTAGGATATTATCATAAATTTAGCGATATTTAAAAATATTAATAATACAAGAAGATATGTGAAAAAGTATACGTACTAAAGACAATCAAAAACAGAACAGAACTATTTTGAGTAGTAGAGCTCGAAATATTTGTGACAAATTTTGTGACATATGTCATACAAGTATAAATTTACCAGATTATGAATGAAACAAGAATAAACTTATTTTATCAATTACACTTATTTATTTAAAAGTACGTTCCTTTTTTTACCTATTTCATTGAGAAGATCAATTAAAACTTATAGAGCCTCTTAACAATTGGAGTTGTTGTCACTGAAACTAACAAATAGGTATAAAATTGATAGTATTTTTAGTTATTTAATTAAGCATACTGAAGGTGTTCTTGCACGGCCAGTTAAATTATTTTAACAAATACTTATCATATTCCATTTTATGAAAAAAAAAATATGAAAATTTACATAATATGCACCAGATAACTATACTTCGTTTGGTGTGTACGTACCAATATATCACAATATATGACATAAATAAACAAGTTACATTACAACGCCATCTTACGTCTCCGCATAAAAGTAAATAGTTGGATCATTTATTATGATGGTAAGTGGCCGATAAGCGTCAATTGAGGACAGAAAAAGGTCCGTAAGCAAAAAAAAATAATCGTGTAATGACTGTAGCATAAATTATAATTGGAATTAACGAAATACTTGAAACAGCTCCAATTAATTGATTACTGTACCTTGATTAATATACAGCCTTCATTTAACACAATTAATTAATTCGTTCAATTAAAAAAAATATTTTCCTATTTTTATATCAATTTTAACATCGAATGAATTTATCAATATTTCATTATTGAATTATGAAAACAAAGTATTAATTTGTCAGATGTCAGTTTTTGACAACAGCCAAAAAAGTAAATTGATTTGCGTTTTGTTATAGGAAAATGACAAATGAATACGATTAATTAGTTTCAAAAGAGTTTTGTTCAATATTATTGAATCATGAAAATCATATACATTAAATAATCATAAATATTAAAAATAAAAAATTTACTAGTTCGTTGACAGTTATTGACAGGCTAAAGAAGCAGATGGCATTTGGATGAATGCAGATCTGTTAAAAAGCGCTATTATTGTGCTACTTATGTGCTTATTATTGTTATAGACCACTGGTGTATCTTCGTGCTGTACATTTTGTATAGCAGTGTCTCTAAATAAATTATTAGAAATAGATGCAATTGTAATGGTCTGCTTAATTGCTTAGTCATGATTAAAATACAAAATTGAAGTATGGAAAAACTGCAACTATCATGATGGGAGGTAAATGAAAAATATGGACACGGTGCAATTATCATATTTTTGCCTGAATACGTTTAATTTATACGATGTTGCGTACGTTGAATGCAAATGAATATCTTGAATATAGAAGAGGAGGCAAACCAACTGGCTTGCTCCGGTCCTATTATATCCCATGAATACATATTAGATGTTGCAGCGCCGTCGGTCGAGCGGCGTCAATAGTTCACACACACAGACCATCGGCAATATCCGATCGAGGTGGTCCGCGTCCCATGCAACGGCAGAACCATCGCATCATAAACACACCCATATGCCCCCATCGCATGCATGCAGTTTAAATGGACTTGTCCCCACAGCAGCAGAAGCAGAAGACGACCAGAACAAAAAGCGAGCATTAACATTTCAAAAGGCGTTCCGGGTCCATCTGGCGGCACCATCTCCAACCTCCTTCTGACATCGGCCCTTGCATATGTCATAACCAACAAAAGTTTATGTGTGGTGTGCAGTGAGGATATTAAAACGCCGTCGACTTCTGTATACTCCAGAAAGAAAACAAAGCGGAAAACGTGCGGAAAATAAACGTTCATCGGATTTTCATGAGGGAATCGCCAAAGTATCGGTGAGTTTGTTTTGCACTTTGTACGTTTCACAGTGAAACAAGAGGAAAAAAAATGAAAGGAGGAAAGAAGAGAGGAAGCCCACGGTGCAAAGCCCAAGAGCGACCTGCGAGTGTCAAAGTGAAATAATAATAATAATGAGAAGAAGAAAAAAGAAACCAAGAGCGGAGGAAAAGAAACAAGAAACAGCACTATTTATAGGCAGGCCAACAGCGAGAGTTTTATACGTCGTTCGATTATGCGGTTATTATGTTTTGCTTTCATCCGCAACAGCAATTAGTCCAATCGAAATCCGTTCCACAGTAAGTCCGAATCCGTCCTCTTCGGCGTTCCTTTCAGACCACAGTCTAATTGAATTCAATTAGACGCGAAGAAGCGCATTTATTCCAATAATAATAATAATGGGATGCGATCGCACGGGCACATAAAAAGGCACCCCCTCTTCGTTTCACCGAAGGGTGGTTTTTGCACCTTTAATAAACACGGCTGTGCCTAATTGGTATCAGTCTGCGCTGAATGAGTCACGGCTCATTCTGCATACATGACCTTATGAAATTTAAATTGATGACATAATAATTTACTTGGCTCTTCGTTATTTGCAATATACGCCACCCAAGTCATAGCTAGCTTTGTTTTTTTTTCTAGTTGTTTACATAATTACGTGCATGTTTCTGTATTCGTATTCCTTTCATTGAACCAATCCATTCACCCAAAACATTCCCAATTCCTCGAATGCTAATCCTATTTGATTCGCCTTGCTTAATTTTAACAGTCCATTTCACCAAACATTGCAAACAACATGAGACAATATACATTGCATACAACATTGTTTAACACGTTTTTATTTTGCATGTCTTTTATATTTATTGCATTTAAGCAATTTCCTGCACTAAACATAGTTATTATACTAACGCTAATTCAACTTTGTTTTTAAACAAGGATCGTTGAATATCTGTATTCTTAAAATAATTAAGGTTTTTTTTAGTAAAAGCAATTAACGCCAACAGATGCATTTTATAGATCTTATGTCTCCATCATCAGTATATTCTTGTTTCTTACAACAAGAGTCTTCCGCAATGTATGTTAATTATACTACAATTACAATTAAAAAATTCTTTATTGTTCATTTCAATTCGTTGAGAGGATTGGCTTCTAATTAGTCTAAAAAAATACGTGAACCAAGACATTTATTATGTTTTCCTATCTTGTTATTAAACATTCCATATATCAAACAATAACAAACAAAAAAACAAAAATTCTTCTAACATCAATATTTTATATTTATTTGTTTATACAACATAAAACCTTAGATGAAAAAAAAACAATTTATTCTTTATTTTGTCTAATATTATTACTACTAGTTTTTATTTATCAATAAAGATTATCTATAGAAAGATGTCAATACTAGCAATGTTATTGTATCAATGAATAAATAAATAATTTCTTCATTAGCATATGTTTGTTAAAGGGCCTTATCTAATTGATTTGTCAATATTATCATCGTGGCAAAGCATTCTATTTAAATACAAGTTACATTATTAAGAGATTGACAATTCATGACATATGTCATGAAATAATCAACTGAAATGTAATTTAATTATTGAGTTCTGTTAAGGGTTAAATACTGCTTCATGCTAAAAGTAACATGTGCTGATGTCGTTAGTTTCACTTCAATTCGCCATTTCATGAGCTTTCCAGGCTCCAAGTGGATTGAGCTCCTGGAGATGCTGTGATGCAATTATTGGATTTTCATCCGGCGCGAGTAACGTCAGCAAACTTTGTTTCCTGATATCCATCGTTCGGAATCAAAACTGTGTAGAGGAGAGGAGATATAGAATTAGACCCAATTTTACAGCACCGTGGAGCGATAACAGTTCTAGATTCGATAAATTAACAATTGCATTGGGAATTTCACTTAGATAACAATATACAAAATGTTTTAGTCTTTACAAAACAATTTGTTACTTTCACAGACTTTTGACTCAGTCAAAACAGTGACATTATTTATCTGCTTACAGAAACCTATTTCAGTCGTGATTACGGTTTTTAAATTGAAAATGAAACTAAACTTGAATACAGTTATAACAAAAATAATTAATGATGATTATAGAAGTAAAATGATTTATAATTCTTGAGTGGTTTAAAGTGAAATAAATACCGCAGGAAGTGAACAACGTTTGTGGAATTTCTTCGAAAAAAAAAAGTCTGAAACTTTGAGGGAAATTAATGAGGAAAATCGTGCCAGGTTCCACTGAAATCTGTATTTGTTGCCAAGGCGACTTCAGTCTATTAAGTACGCGGATCTATCAAGATATTATTTTAATAATTACAAATATTTCTAACTCGTACATTCGATTGATGACAAATGAACAGCGCTTGCTGTTATAATACAATACTTTTAATGCACACGTCTTCGAAAGGCGTTAATTAATAAATATGAATATTCGCAATATTTCAGTTAAATATTACGTTTCATAATTAATTTATAAAATTATGAAATTAATCAATATTAGTATAATAGCATAAATGTAATTTCTAATGATGAAGTTGGTTTATTCGTTAATTGGATTTTTGCTTGGAATTTATGGAACATTGTTTATTTAACTGATTTTATATAGTCATTCATTGTATTTTGAAACTTGCTGAAAATACTATGTATGCATAATCCATTTAGATTGCCCGTTTTCCTGGTAACAGCTGTCAACAGCGAACAATTTTATAAACTATAATTAAATATAATGTATCTGCGCGAAGCTCATACTGGGAAATTGTGCAACTTATTTACATTCTATTCGGAATTATGAATTATGAGAAATTATACCGGCAACGTTTCGTCGGGGTGGAGCGGTAATTTCATTAAAACGCGCATAATATTTTTCCTTTTTCTCTCTTCTCGTTTAAGTGTTCGAATCTTTCTCAACGGAAATTAACATGTGCATGGATATGTACACAAGAATCACGCGGAGATTATATTTTCGAGTAATTCTAAATTTAGTTACGCTTATCCGTTAGAAACAAAAGAGCGACGAGGCGCGTGGAAAAGACGGAAAGAATCTGTACCGTCTCGTCGGAGGGAACGTTACAAATAATAGCGAATTGAATGTACAGATTTTGCAGTCGCCGGAACCGTCGGACCATTGTCTTCGGCCGCCGAGTTACGCAACTCGTCCCGTAACCCGGAGAAAATTCCATTTCAATGGGAATTCTCATATTGTCGGCGAAGACATCAAATCGGCGCTTTCAATTGAGAGAGTGAGAGGAAGGAAACACGCACGCATCTAACTTCAAAAAAGATTCAATCAGTTAGGACGCAGATCTCTCGGATGCGAAAATCCTAATTACGATCATTATTCGGATGCAGCTCTTAACTATGCGAGCCAAGAACTTCGCCTTGCAGGAAATTGCTTTTTCAGCACATGCACCTCATGTTCATGAACGGCGTTATCAACCGATTGCAGAAACATCGACCTTGAAGAGGCAACGCGATCTGATCTACTTGTATCTATTCCGTTTGACATTGACATTTCATTAAAAGAAAAGAAATATTCTAAATTAAAATGATTGGACTGATCATTGCAAATTACAGATTCATATACGAATTCTCCGCACGCGCGTCTATTACAAGTATTACACATTCTTGTTGAGATTCTATACAAGATTACTACTACACTTATTAGATATAGGTCCTCTAAATCTTTATAATATCGATTACACGGTTTATTTACTATCGATGTTGTTGTGAGATAGCGTTGTTTCTGTGTATTTAGTATAAACTCCATTATCTTGTAGGCGGAAATGAAACTCCCCGTCTATATGGTCAATAACCTTTTAGTTGCGTTTCAAGCAGTAATAAAAATACATTTATATTATTGTTATTTCAATTCGTTGCAAACATACGTTGAAATATTCTGATAATGTCCAACGCGATTATTGTTTATTCATCCAATAATTCAAATTTATGGTAAAATTTAATATACATTTCCACGAGAAACATCAGATTTATTGACTAATATAAATGAAAGTACTATATTCCTTTTTCTTTATGTAATAATATTATGAGCTAAGTTTTTTAAATCTTTTTTTTTTCATTATAGTTAAAAATAACTTATTTTTAATTAACAAAATCAGTAATGATACATTTATTTGAAATAATAATATTAGAAGCAAGTATTTCTAACAGTTATAATTTTACAATTATATTCATACCGTTAATATCGACAATTAAAAGTATCAAAGTAACAGATTATTGTATGAAGAAATTTAAGTTTAAAAAAAATGGACTTTAATTGTAACCAACTGAAAAATATTATTCTCATGCCTGCGACAACGACATGTGTAAAAGCCTGGTAAAGCAATCTGTGATAACGATGAAAAGCTTCCCGTATTCTCTTCGAATCGTTGGTTTTATTTAACGATAGGAAAAGATACTGGAGATATGAGCGTTTTAACACGCGGTTGATTTGGAGCTCTGCTCGTAAGCAGCGAGCGCGGTCTCTATATACATGAACACATGTACTATAAATGTTTTTTGCAATGCGCGTCTGCTGGTGAAGACCTATGATGACGATACCTCCATCCGCAAGTATGTTATAAGATCCGATCCCATCTAGGTCAGAGCCTGGCATAAAAATGATTCCAAACAAACAAGCGGCTTGCTGAGAAATGCGAATGGAACAAGATTACAATGTTTAATATTTGTCAATATTTAGTTTGTTTTTTGCTTTGCTAAATACTTTGCTCATTGTATCTAATCGATTTTCGTATAATAATCGGTTAGTTCTCGCTTTTGTAAATATTTTCAATTTTTATTTGCAGTAAATATTTATCGAACAGCATACCAATTCCGGAAATTCCGATGTAATTGTGTTCAATTTTTAAAACAATGCCGGAATGTAAATTCTATAGTTTTTTTACGAGTTTATTTTTAATTTATCTAAAACAATCCAATTATTTTATGAAACATGGTTTTAGTTCATTTTTTAACAATTATATATTCTGGTTATGTTTCTTTTGGAAATAGTACAACACTATCATCTGAGCTTTAATTTATCTAATGTAATCAAAATTTTCAGCAATTTGCTGCAGGCTGCTGCCATTTCTGCAACGAAATGCAAACCTCTTATTGCGAAGTTATCATATTTGCATTCGTTTAAATTGCCGGTCGCGCGGCTGCGGTTTACATATTTCATTTTATTATAATGAATATTAGCTTCCATTTGAAATACCGAGTGGCTTATAGGAATGTTAATTGAATGCAAAACTAAATAATAATTTGCAAGTTTAATGAGTGCAAGAGGCATCATACGCCCGCAGGTCAAGGAACATTTATTTTGTAGATGATTTTGCAGCGATTGCTGCTCAAAATGTTTCGAATTTATTAGATTGTATCGTGTCGTAAGTGGTGGCTCGGCGATATTAAGAAGATGCCTTGACGCTGTCTCATCATAAATTGTCACATATAAATGTTTATATGTACGTATGTATAAGCATATATCCTTATCACAGCCGGCCGCTCCTGGCGCGAATTCAAATGTCCTCTTTTGATTTTGATTTGGCAGTCGGCGGGTGTTACATTGTGCCCGAAGGTTTCTTTTCCTATTTTCGAACTGCGAAGAGGGAAACGAAAAATGCAATAGAGGAACGTAAATAAACATTTCGCAGGTTCGGTTACGTACTAGATCCTTCTCTTCTAAAAGAGTTACTGCGAGGCAATCGCCTTCATTGGGCTGCCGCTCCGCATTGGCTTCCGTTCGTTGCGAAGTTGAAGTATGCGCTTCTTAATTGATGCTATTGTGTGTCACTCTTACTTTCCATATACTATTTTTTTGTAATTCAATTGGCAAACGCGACGTGCTTCTTTCAGTCGCTCGCTGCATTCTCGTTTAAGCTGTATCTCTCTGGCTATCATCACCAGAGCAAAGCCATTTTAATATCGGTTTTAATAGGTAATAGCAGTGGTAAGATTATTGGGTTTCTTGTATTTAATTGGATATGTTCCAAATGCTTGTGTTTATATTTTCCGTTCGCATGTTGCTAAATGATATGTAATATGTTGCAGGTATATATCTTTGATATTGCATCAAACATGTCTCTACCAGTTATTTGAGCGTGGTGAACAATTACCATCATCATACACCTCCTGTATTGCTCTCATGAACGTCAATGGCGAGAAGGATTGAAATCATGTAGGTGAATGAACTGAGAGGAAACCCGCGCAGAGATTACGCTTCTCAGGAGTGTTCCTTTGGTAGAAAATCCTCGAGAACGTTGGAAAGATGTCGCAACACGACGACCGGAAGAAGTTCTATTGCCGCGAGTGGGCTTTCCAGAAGTTGTCGCACTGCCTGGACCAGAGACCTATTTCTAAAACATGCGGCGCACTCTTGCTGGGTAAATATTTTCGTTAGACGCTGTCTATTTTTACCAAAATTTATTTATTTATCTGATCCTAGGTGGCCCCGGTTGCGGGAAAACGACGTTCTGCTCGGAACTGTGTTGGCCTTCGCAGGGACCAAGCGGTCGGCAACAGCGAGCCCTCAACAGGAGGCTGCTGGGCCATCACTTCCTTCAAGGGCACAACGAGAAGAGTCTGTCGCTCAGCGAATTCGTGCGTTCGTTGGTGACGCAAATATTGAACCATTCCACTGAAAGCCACAAAGAGCGTAGCATTCGACGCAAATTAGCCTCTGACGATAAAAACACCACTTACGAGCAAAATATCTGCGAGGAGAATCTCTACAGCAATATAACTAACGAGGAGGTTAATAGAACGACCGAGTCGGCTACACCTCCCGTCCCGAATCTCCCTGTGAACCCGCGTACTCTGATTGCTGACGCCTACTTGGAAAAACTCAAATCTGATCCTGAAATACAAATTGCCTTGCGGGCGAAGAACATCGAATCTAATCCGGACGATTGTCTGAAGAGAGCGCTGCTCTTCCCACTATTAGAGATCGATCCGCCAAAAACTTCATTGTTTCTATTGATCGACTCTATCGACGAGCATTCCTTTGTTTACCTCAACTCCACGCTTACGCGTTCGAAACCTCGAGACCGGAGTTCTCAATCGAAGACAATAGCCGAGTTATTAGCCAACCATCATCATTTATTTCCGCAGTGGCTCCTACTGGTATGCACGGCACGCAAACAGTCCAAGAGTATAGCGAAGATGTTCACGGGGTTCAGGAAACTAAGTCTCGATGATCTGCGGAAATCGCAAGTTGTACGAGACGTTCAGCAGTACATCCTAGCTCGACTGGACCAGGAAAATAGTTTGAGGCAACACATCTCTAGAGATACGGCCGAAATGCTTAACCAACTTCACATTAAAAGCAATGGATGTTTTCTCTATCTAGAAAAAGTATTGGACGGTGTTAGCGAGAATTTTATCGTTTTGAGGGAAGTACGCGAAATACCCGGCACCCTCAACGGTCTCTATTTGTGGCTTTGTCAAAGGTTATTTAATAGACGCCAATTCGCCAAAGTGCAGCCATTGCTAAACATAATACTAGCAGCTAAATGTGCTCTCAACGAAAGCCTTTTGTATGATATTATGCGAATCAATAGTGTGTCTGCAGATGATTTCAAAAAGCGATTTCAACTTCTGCGGCGAATAATTGTCGTGTCGAGGAGCGGAACGATTCGATTATTCCATCATTCTTTCTCGGAATGGCTGCTGGACATAAAGCACTGTACTCAAAAATACCTGTGCAACATCTACGAGGGACACATCATCCTCGCAATGTACTACACACTGCACGCAAAATATTTGAACAATCAAGAGATATATGATTATGCGTTCCATCTCACCAGGATGGAACAGTATCTCAATGAGAAGTCCGAAGGAAAGCATCACCTCAAAATGTCGCAAGATCGCAGGCAAATGTCTGTCGCTGATGGCACACTAGATAAATCAGCAACGGAAATATACTGTGATTTGAAAGCTTTGGAAGAAGTGAAAAAAATGGAGGACGATTTTGATAATCTGCAAATGGAAACCAGTTTTGTCGGCGACGAAAATAACGGTGATGAGTTTGTGGTGCAGGAAGAGAAACCACGTCCTGACGACTTTCCCATTTACGCACAAGTTAAGAAGGATAGAAACAAGGATCACCAGCATTCCCTTGTTTCCACGGAGGCTGTGGAGGGTAACGATGCTAGCAGCAATACGAAAGTTAACTTGGATGTCCACAGTTTAACAGTGCTTTGGCTCATATTGAGCGGCTGCAATATTGAAGAGTGTCTGTTGGAGGGGAATGAAATGGCTGGCGTGAATTTTGGAGCGTTCCTGCCTACTGATCCGAAAGTATTGAAATTGCTTCTAGAATCAGGAGCAGTCGAACAAAATGATCTGGAAGGATGTGACTATGAAAGTCAGGTGTCCATCGCAACGTCTTCATCGGAACCCAGTCCGGAACCTCTTTTCGATTTGCACGACATTCATGGTCAGGCCGCGCTGCATGTGGCATCTCGACTTGGTCAGACGGAAGTGGTTAAGGTTTTGTTGGAGGCTGGCGCCAACGCAGACCAGGCCGATATGGATGGATGGACGCCTCTTAGGGCAGCTGCTTGGGGCGGTCACACAGAAGTTGTCGAGCTACTAGTGATACACGGATGTTCCTTAGATAGCATGGATGCTGAAAATCGAACAGCCCTTAGGGCTGCCGCCTGGTCAGGTCACGAGGAGATAGTCAAAGTGTTGCTGCAGAATGGAGCCGACGTGAATCTAACTGATCACGAAGGTCGCACAGCCTTAATCGCGGCCGCTTATATGGGTCACGCCGAGATCGTGGAGCATTTGTTGGACCACGGCGCTGACATTGATCATGCTGATGCAGATGGTAGAACGGCTCTGTCAGTAGCTGCCCTATGCGCTCCGCGAACTCCCGGCGTTGGAGTAGTTGCAACACTGCTAGAGAGAGACGCAAGTGTCGATCATAAAGATAAAGAAGGAATGACACCACTGCTGGTAGCATCCTTCGAAGGACACAAGTATGCAAATTTAAAATAATATCAGATGCATTGATTATATTATACGTATTGTTTTCTTGTAGGGATGTTTGCGAGTTATTGTTAGAAAATGAAGCTGATGTAGATCACTGTGATAGCAGCGGCAGAAGCCCTCTGTGGGCAGCAGCCTCAATGGGTCACGCCCCCGTAGTTGCGCTCTTGTTGTTTTGGGGCTGCTGCATCGATTCGATGGATTCCGAAGGACGAACCGTGTTGTCCGTAGCAGCTGCTCAGGGTTGTGTGGACGTCGTCCGCCAGCTTCTAGATCGCGGTCTAGATGAGCAGCACCGCGATAACTCAGGTTGGACTCCCTTGCATTACGCTGCTTTTGAAGGTCATCAAGATGTCTGCGAGGCGCTATTGGAAGCTGGCGCCAGGATAGACGAGACGGATAACGAAGGAAAAGCACCGTTAGCATTGGCATCGCAAGGTGGACACACTGCCTTGGTGAACCTGTTCATCGATAAATATTGTGCAGATTACGACCAACGTCCGCATGACGGTAAAACAGCATTGAGGTAGTTTCATTTACTCTAAGTTTGCAGTTAGGGCATATCTAACAAATTTTAATTTGTAGATTGGCCGCTTTGGAAGGACACTACGATATTGTGCAACTTCTACTTATTGATGGGGCCGATATCGATATGAAAGATGCAGATGGTCGCAGCACTTTATACGTGCTAGCATTGGACAACAGATTAGCTATGTCCAAGCATTTTATTCAGGAAGGTTCAGATGTGGAGACTAGAGATCTGGAGGGCCGCACGCCCTTACACGTGTCAGCTTGGCAAGGTCACACGGAAATGGTAACGCTTCTATTGACTTCAGGGAAGGCCAAGGTAGATGCTGTAGACTTAGAGAACAGAACAGCCCTTCATTCGGCAAGCTGGCAAGGACACAGTGAAATCGTGAAGATACTCTTGGAACAAGGGGCAATGCCAGATCACACATGTAACCAAGGTGCCACAGCTTTAGGAATCGCAGCACAAGAGGGACACGAGCAGTGCGTGGTTGCGTTGTTGGAACACGGCGCGGATCCGAACCATTCGGACGCCTGCGGAAGGAACGCCCTCCGAGTAGCAGCCAAATCCGGTCATCGTGGAGTCGTTAGACTGTTGGAAGAGTATAACGCAAGGAGTCACAAAACTGCACACACCAGTAGCAGCGCTAACAGCATTAATTCTGGTAAACGTCAAGACGATAAGTTTTGCAATAATATGTTATCGTATTTATATTCAATTGCAGTTTCCACCACTGAAACGAAACCGTCGTTTGCAATTTTGTACCCAAGCGCTACAGATTGGAGCGACCAGCAGCGCCGGTCTATGGTGTCACTAGGAAATCACAGTTCAAATAGCAAATCCAGTTCAAACCTGACCGGATCGAGTCACTCTAGTCGGCATGGTGGAGGTGGTGGAAGCGGTGCCAGCGAGAGACAAAGAGAGACTGTCGCAACATCACAGGTATATACGATATATTCTCCCTTTCAATCCCAATGACAGTACTAATCATTCTATTATTTGCAGCCGTTATCGTTTACGCAGCAGTTGCAACAATGCACCAGAGGCGCGAAGACGCGGCCTCTGAGTAAGCTGTTATCGCCTCTCCAGAGCGAACCGCAAAGCCCTATCTATGCTTCACCTCCACTTAGTCCCGTTCACGATTCGCTCGTTCCAAATGTATTCAGTAAGTTCAGGAATGCATTCCAGTACTTGAAAGGTAGTTTAAATAAGCAAACGAATCCATAGACGCGCGAAATTGTTGAATTATTATTATTACACATAATATTTAATGGACGTTGGCTGTCAGTCGAGGACTAATTTACTAATTATCTTTTTTATATCTCTCTGTGCCAGGTGGGATGAACATTTATCAACCGGTGCTGAAGCAGAACCATCTCTCCAAAGCTCCGGATCCGCACTTTGCGCGCGATACCCATATGCGTATCATTCTCGGTAACTCGACTAGCAATGGAGCATCAAAAAGCGAGAGCAAAGACAAATCGAAGAATCAGAGTCAGGATAGTAATAACTCATCAAGGTAATACAAACGAAATGTATGCAAATAGAAACAATGGTGACTTTATTTTAATTGCGTGAATCAATTTAATTAATTTATCAATCTTACATTTTTACGCATGAAACATTAATGAAATAATCATAATAATAATTAACATTTATGAGAATATATCATCTTACTACTAAAAATCAACTGTTCTTATCTACAGCTGAGCGTGCAATTAAGCAGAGATAATACGAGCACAAAACTGAACGTTCGATGTTCGAAAGGCTTCACTGTGCATTTGATAATTGTTAATATTCATTACAAATTTGTGTTATAATTTCAGTTCTAAACCGAAACGCAACGGAATCGTGACGAATCCCGCGCTTCGACTTGTGGCGAACGTGAAGAACGGCTTAGACTCGGCGGCGGCGAATTTACGCAAATCCGCGAGCGGTGCGAATCCCAGCACCAAGACGAACAGCTTCCACTGGCGAAAGGAGACCCCGCTGTAATGTCCATCACCAAAGCCCAGACAACCAAACGACCGCCGACGCACTTGCTAAACTAGTCAATATGTATTTAAAAAAAAAACAAAGCAAAAGAAAAACAGGTGAGAGCTCCACGATCACCGGGTAGCGAATAAGTTTAAGTATTTTTAAGTTCTACTGTTATCAATGTATCGTAGGGCCGGAGAAAGAGGACGATTTTGATCACATTCGTTTATTTGAATAATAATAATGCATAGAATAAAATTCCACGAATACCTTTAACATGTTTTCTCTTCTTTTCATTATATCTTATTATTAACTGTATAAACGTAAAAGAAGGTATCGGGATTATTTTGTATGTTCCAGGTGGGTTTCCAATTTTGTATGCGAACGGTTTACGAATGGAAACGGTATCAACAAAATGCACTAGTCGTTTTTTTTTTAATTAAAAAAAAAATATATATATATTAATACAAAGAATTTATGTACATTAGAAGTAATTTTGTTTTAAACATTATTACCGAGAATAAAACTATCTGATGAGAAACAATAAGCGAAACTATGGATACTACAGTATATATATAATATAATAATCACTAATACTGAATACACACGTACACTCACACAACACATATTTCGAATAGATCTTAGCGATATTATTATTATTTTTAAGTGATAATTTATAATAATTCTAAAAAAGAAACAAATGAGGCCTATATTTAAACATCGTACAGTATTTATTTATATTTGACTTTCTACTCTATATTTCATTTGTATGTGTTTAATTATTATTTTTTTTTGTGGCTGAAATTGTAAAACAACGTAGAGGCTAAATTCTTATTGTGATAGAATTAATAGGTTTAAAAATTTATAGAACTTGATGATAATGAAACTAATAATAATACATACAAAAATATACCTATATAACGGTCGATTTTCATTTCTTTGAGCTACTTAGCCATTCACAGATCAATACACAATACAAGAATGTTTGTCTATTATTTTGTTTATTTTTATTTTAAACGATTGAGGAAATAATAATTTAAAAAAAAAATAATGAGGGGTATGGGATGCGGACGATGCGTCCCGTGATTGAATGAATGAATGATGATGGAGAAGAAAAGAATAATTTTTATACTACTATATTTAATGATATTAAGAATAATGATAGTAATAATGGAGAAAATATATATGAAATAAAATATATTGTGGCGCTGTAAAAACAAAATACGAATACAGTATTAATGATTATAATAATAAAATGGAGGAAATCTTAATTACTACTCTTTTTTTTTAAATGTCTATTTCCTGTTTCACGCCGATGTCATTGTCCTTGCCGTGCAATTTTCTTCCCTCCTAATGCGGCCTTGTGTACACATTCGTGTCTTATCACCTGCATTTTTATCGACGACTTTCCCATTTTTCGTTTTCTACTTTAAACGTCTTGCCATTTTTTCTTTGCAGCCAGTTTATTTGAAAACTCGTTACAGGCACGATGTTTTCGAAAACATTCCTACTTGTTATTTTCTGCATAGGTATAGTATACACTTATTTCCTAATTATTTTTTACAGTGTACTAGTAAATAGCATTTATTTCTGTTCTATCAAAATAGAATATGTATGTACACATTTTCAGCATAATCACTTTTAACCATAACAAAATGAAGTATTTGTTAAATTAAAGTATCTACAACTAGAAACCAGTTGACTTAATAAATTTGAATTAAGTAAAAAAGTTAAAATTTAACCGTTAGTAACTAATGACATTGTAAACTCGAAACGTGTCGAAATTGTATTAATATATTATTAAAGGAAATCACTGCTTACTTTTTCACAAAAATATGTATTATAGAAGTTTTAGATTTAATGTTACATTTTCAGATGGAATGTACTCAAAAACAAGAATTATAGGAGGATTTCAGGCGGTGATCGATAATTATGGATACACTGTATCCTTGCAATTCGATGATGAGCACATTTGTGGCGGTGCGATAGTTACACCGACGATGGTTACGAGTGGAGCACATTGTACTACTATATCATACACAATCAAATAGAAAAAAAATCATGATTGTTTTAGGTATTCGGTATCCGAAAGAAACGTACAGTGTAAGAGTAGGTAGCACTTATAAAGATAGCGGTGGTCGTCTCTACAACACGTCCAAGATCATAATCCATCCGGAATACAATAGGAGAACAGCGGATAAAGATATTTGTCTGTTATTTTTCAAGTAACTGACGCAATTTATAAACTGTTATTTGCAATGATAAACCAATTTACAGAGAATCTCTGCTGTTCGATTGGACGGTGAGGATGATTGCTCTACCCGACGAGGATTCAAAGGTGCGTATAGGGACGACCGCAGTGGTTACAGGTTGGGGATCGACGAAGCTTAACGATCCTTACAGTGTTTCTCCCACGCTGAAAGGAGTTTACGTGGATGTTGTTAGTTTCGCGAAATGCAAAGCTTTGTATCCTCCCAATTCGATCACGAATAGCATGATCTGCGCTGGAAGCAGAAAACCAGAAGATGCGTGCAGCGTAAGCGTCATATTGTTAAAAACTTGGAAGACTTCGTATTATCGAACGAGTGTTTCAGGGTGATTCGGGAGGACCGATGGTTGCAAACGGTCTGCTAATTGGATTGGTTTCGTGGGCATTCAGCTGCGCGGACGTGAACTATCCGGGGATCTACACATCCGTTTCGAGTGTAGTGGACTTCATCGAAAACAATACGAACGCCATGTCCAGAACGCAATAAATCAACTGCAAAATATTTATTTATTTCATATATTTTCTGTAGTCATCTTTAAAACCTTTCCTCTTTTTTTTTTCAATAAAACGCGAAGCATCTCCGCACAACTTCACCTTCTTTCTATCTCTTCGAAACATAATAAAAACGGACTTGATAAAATACATAAATCTAATTCTCTTTGTTCCTCTCGAATGTTGTTTGTTTCATTTTTTGCTTTTTTCTCAGTTTAATACAATATTGTCTGTTGTACAAACGCGAAAACAAAAATAACAATATACAAATGATTCGAAATATATATATAAAAAATTATTAAATAATATAAAGCAATAAACGATGGAACATTTATTAATATCGCAATTGTTTGTAATTAATTTTAAAAATATATATAAGTCATAATAAAGAGACATAAAAACAACGTAATTGGTGAACTGGGCGATGCTTTTCTTGTAACATATTTTAGCCATGCCTCAGTTCGGCGATTTCAAGTAAAAACACCGTTATTGATAGACATATTATTGTACAGTCAAATAGATGAACTTAGTTTCGGTCAAGTTAAAAAAAAAAAGAAATATAGTAAAAACGTGAACCAATTGTTCCTAAGAAAATTAATAGATATAAATATATAGTTAATAATAAAAATATATGAAAATAATAAGAATTAGACTCGTAAAATCTAAATATGCGAAAGGGGTAATAAGCACCACAGTTCCGAAAAAAAGAACAAACGAAAGTATTGAAGAAAAATATGTTTCTGCTTCTTTTTGTGTTGTTCAATGTGTAATATCTGTGGTGTTGTTGCTTCTCTGCTAAGCTTCAAACCAATTCAACGTAATGTTTCTCCAAAAGCATTTTCTTCTCGTCGGTTAACGTCGTTATTCTTGTCGTATGGCGCTCGTACGCTTTGCGAGGGATCAACTCGATTGGCCTGGCGATGTTTCCTCGGCCAGATACGATAAGGTCTGCCCAGTTCACGACGAAATTAATCCACTCGGTCTTTTGTTTGTCGGAGACCTCGTTTGCATAGATTAGATATTCAGCACGTATGAACATCGTTACCAGAGCGGAAACACCGAACTGAAAAATTAGATCGATTAAAGTTTACCTGTTTGATGGTAAATTAGCTAATATTAACACTCACCTTGTTCGCAGTGATAAAATACAGTGGTGATTTTGCCTGATGGCTCAAAGGTGTGCTTCTGCTGTTCTCCTGGCGAACCACTTCCACCAATCCAGAGACGAGCTCCAAAATATCGGCTATCTGGCATGCTTGTATATAGCTAAAAGAAAATTTAAATGTGTTAAAAAAGTAATTTCAATCAATTGGAATTGGTGAATGCTGCGTCTAAACTAATTAAAATTAAATATTGACATATTTCACAACAATTAATAAAAACATGTCTTACAACCTCTTGACCTTCAAGAATATCTTTCAATAACTTAGTCTACAATGAAAGGTACCAATACTCATAAAATGGATACATTAAAAATGAAATTATAATGATTCATCAAAATATAGAGAAAAAAAACTATAAAAATGCATGCAAATCTGTCTTTGTATAATCAAAGTTATAAAATCTTAAATTTTAATTGCACGTACCGTTTGAAGTAGGGATGAAAACTTGGGAGAATGTTATCACCGGCGGTATCCCTTCTCCCCACTATTGGTAAACTAGTGAGGATCTTCGTCCACAGTTCCAACTCAGTTCTGGAACGATTGTCCGAAAGTATCTGTGGCAAGACTCTCAATAGAAGCATCTAAACATAGGACAATGCAACAGTAGAACAAGGCAAACGATGAAATTGAATAGTGGCATCACATACTTTCCCCTTTCTAATATTTAAATAACTAGCAACTTTGTCATCCTGCAGGAACGCGGTCATTATCTTCGATATATAGTCGGAGGGTTTTTCAGGATTACTGGTGCTCTCCTCTTGCAGCAGTTTTAAGATCTCTTGCTTCTGTTCAGGAGTACTCGCAGTATCTAATTCTCTCAGTCTCTGTTTTTGCTTCTGCTGAACTAGCTTATCAGTATTGTAAATGGCAACTGGATTCAATAAATCCTCTGCTTTCAGCAACATATTATATAACCCTTCCAGCTCGAGCAATAATTGTTTTGTTTTGCGCGTATCTCTTGTTGGAGTACTTTCAGAGTCTTTTTCCAGTGTCACTACGTCCATATCAATTATCTTTCTTGGAGCTGTAACTGATCCACACTGTAAACATAAAATAATCGTTATTTGATACGGCCAACTCAATGTACCATGGTGTATTTGATTACTTGTAACTTTCCCAACGAATTTTCGAATTGCAGAGGTGTATACACGCGTGAAGTTAACGCATTGTCCTGCCTATCCTGTTGGTTATTCCTATGATTATGTCTCTGGAAACGTCTGTCGGCGTTACGATGGTTATCTTTGTTATTTTTGGCTTTTCGCTCTTTAAAAACCTAAAAAGAATAGACGCATTAGTTGGCACTACTCAACGTTTAACTGATATAACACTCACAGTGTAGTAATAATCATCAAAGTATGGAGTGCCTGTATTCAGTTGTATCTGCTGAATGTTTAACAACCACTGCTTCTCTCTGTTAGTCATAAGACCATCATATTCATCTTTTACAGGGATTCTGCTCATTTCTATAAATTTCTGCATAGTGGAATTGTCGTTCAAAATATTGTCAAATGATCGTGACAACGTCGTATGCAGATGTTGTAATCGTTGATGTTGCTGTTGTTGCAGGTGAGGCGACGACGGCTGTTGGTGCCTCAACATTGGCGGCGGAGGCTGAATATTATTGTTGTTCCTCGGCATTCCAGATGGATAATTCATGTTGTAGAGCATCATTTTTCCTGGTGGCGGAGCATGCGTTAGATACTGCCCTAGATAGTTGCTGCGTAGCATCATATTCTGCGCTGGCATAGGCATCCTAAATCCCGGTGGTATATTTGCAGGTTGAGGCGGCATATTCGGTCGAATCATTAAACCGAATCCCGGTGGAAGCTGTTTTCCTATTGGGTATAAGCCTGGTGGATAATGTTGAGGTGGTTGTACAGGCGGTTGTACAGGCCACATTGGACCAGAATATTTTGGAGGAAACTGCATTGGTTTCTGTTGCATCAGCCCTCTTTCCAGCTCTTCCACCGTACAAATTTTGCTAGGTACCTGACTGTTAGTTCCAGGCTGGGCAGGTGGAGGACCAGATTGTTCATGTTTCCACACAGACTTCTCATTTTTGGGACCATTATTATCATATAAATTCTAGAAAAACAATTGAATTACATTGATTTACATACTAAATTAAACAAATAAATTACCAATTCTTTACTCAATGATTGCTTTAAACTTAGCAATAAGTTATTAGAGTTGAAGATATCACCATCTGAAGAAATGGATTCATCAGAATCATCACACACCAATTGGCTGATGCAATTTTCTACAAAAAAAATAATAATAAACATATTTAATATAGAAAAATTATGAGATAAACTATAAAACTCACCTAAATGATCAATATGTTTATTGTTCTCGGCAATCTCAGCAAACTGTTCATGTTGCTGTTCCCAATCATCTACAACAGCGGAATCTCCCAGCCCACCAAACGTCTCATCATTAAGAGCATCATACTCAGATTCTTCACCATCTCTGCCATCTACAACATCTTCTCCTCCGATATAAGTGATCTCATGCTAAAAAGAAATTGATTTAAGTAATACATAACCTAAAAATATCTATTTAAAGAATTCACAATTATTATTGTTAAAAAAATCAATTGTTTCTTAAGCAATGTGAAATAAATAATGCAATTATACAAAATTATGGAGCAGCAAAGAAAATTGCACAATTGTAAAAGTAAGGTATATAAAAATGGTAAAAATTATTAAATTCAAGGCTTGATTGGCGGGAAGGTAAATTAAAAATCTTACATCGTTGAGAGTATCGAAACCAAAAAATGTGTTAGCCATTTGATTTTTTTGGATTCCAGCACATTATACTAAGATATGAAATAAAAACAGAACTATTTCTTGTATATACAGAGCAAATCACTTTGAGATTTACTTTAAGGACTCTAAGAATTGACGTTTAACGCATAAAATACCCTAAAAATCAACAGTACTGCCAACTGGAAATATTTACAAACTGAAAATTACCAAACATATTTCACTTATATTTCATTTTAAGCATGTAATTTGATTCTTAGAAAACATGAACTATGTTCGAATTATATAATAATGATTTTGATTGCTCTTTACAGGTTTCCGATACTTTAATAAACTATATACTGAAATTGACTATAAAATATGCACCAACTTCATGTATAATTTGACAGTACTTAACCACGTCAACTAATTCAAATAACTTAATTTTCTAGTTCAAATCAATTTATGTCAAGTTCGAAAACTTGATATCTTTCATCATGGTAGATGAGGGAACAAGAAAGACTTTAAGCAGCATTCCACTGCTTCAAACAAAGGCAGGTCCCAGGGATAAGGAACTGTGGGTCCAAAGACTAAAAGAAGAATATACTTCTTTGATCAAGGTTTGTAATATTAACCTAATAAAACATAACATATGTTAACTTAAGTGTTGTTTTTGTTTATTCAGTATGTATCAAATAACAAGGGTTCTGATAATGATTGGTTCAGGTTGGAATCAAATAAGGAAGGTACCAAATGGTTTGGAAAATGCTGGTACATTCATGAATTATTGAAGTATGAGTTTGATGTTGAATTTGAGGTAACTACTTTCATAATATTATATAATTCATATTAACTGATTATTGATGCTGCAGATTCCCATCACATATCCATCCACAGCACCTGAAATTGCATTACCTGAACTTGATGGCAAAACTGCAAAAATGTACAGGGGAGGCAAAATCTGTTTGAGTGATCACTTCAAACCATTATGGGCTAGAAATGTTCCCAAATTTGGAATTGGTCATGCAATGGCTTTGGGGGTATAATCTTAATATATATTCAACTTCTTGAATTATGCTTAATTATGTTGTTTTCATTTTAGCTGGGTCCATGGTTAGCTGTTGAAATACCAGATTTAATATCTAAAGGCGTTATTCACTACAAAGAAAAAACTGTGCCTGATGCTTAAATAATACTGATTTAATTAATTTTATTGAAATATAATTTCGTTGGAAATAGCACCATCAGAAAAAGTAATAATGCTGTAAGTCAATATCCACTTTTTCTTTAAAATGATAATTAATTTATTGAATTCATATGACATGGCAGTGTGTTATGAACCATCACTTGTTATGTACCAATTCAGTTTAATTACTTTTTTTTTGTAATTATTTTTATATTATAATAAAAACGCAACATTAGAATTATAACAATCATTGAGAACATAAAAAGACAATGATACATTTGTATTATTTGATTCAATTTGTTTCATTTTGATTATTCACTAGCTAATACAACTAAGAAATTTGGATTTAGTTTTAAGCACAGTGCGTAATTCCTTTATAGTGACAGCGTACGCTTTTGTCAATATGTCTGCAACACTTCCCTCCTCTTCGGACAAATTCATTGCCGTTAACTGCTCGTTGAGGTCGTCGAAAATTGTACTACCCATTTTTGATACGATCAACGGAGTTAATTCGTTCGTGTGCGGCTTCAAAACTTCGTCCAATTTCGTGATCTCTTCCTTCACACACATGACTAGATTCGTGATCGATTCGCGGGTGGAATTGTCTACCTTCTTTTTAGCCTTTTTACTGGCGCCACATTGAGAGTTCTTTATAATTTCCCAACATACCAAACACAGTAAACTAACATTGGAAAGTATCTGCAAACAAATGTAATTACAGATATGCACTAAACGTAGTCGAGTATTAAACATACTTCAATGACATAGCTGAGATGCTCTAGGTTGACTTTCCTAGTGATGTATACATCGGGTGATTTACTCTCTCCGGTTAGAGCCTCGCAAATATCGCTGGTCATCGCTTTCACGGCTTCTTTCGTGATGGCAATTACCTGGGTACACTGTTCCATGTCGTCTATGTATACGGCCTCGACAACGTCGAACATTGCACCTAAAACTTGCAAGTAGGGAGCACGCATATACGATCCGAGTTTCGATAATAAACGCATACATAGTAATTTCTGAAACAATATTAATGTATTCCTGAAAGTATGGAAATATATATATTCGTACATGTTCGCTATCCTCGACGACACCATTTCCTTTGATCGTTTCTTTCCAAGCCACAACTTTAGCTTTTAGCTGATCGATACGCCTATGTTCAGGTGCCTTAAAGATTGAGAGTGCCGACTGCATGCAGTCCAATAGAGTGCACTTAATGTACAATAGTTTGGAATCGCGTTCGTTGTGGTCTTTAGTCTCCTTCCATTCTTCTATAGGTCCATTAATGCGCTCAGGGTCCCAACTCACATAAACATTATAATTATGATTAATTCTGCAAAATACAAATAATATTAGTTTTTTTACATAAATATGCTAATTGAAAATGCTTACATTAATTTATCCCAGTTGATTGTCTCACTCATATATTTGCTGTTATTCAATATGTCCAAAGCCCAGACCTGCTCAATGGTATTGCAGTGAACAAACGAAACGAAATGCTTTTCTACTAGCGTATTCGCATAATGGAAACTGCAGCCTAGGCGCTCTTGGAAGTTCATGAATTCGGATAATTTCGAAAACGAACCATACTTATACGAAAACGTCAAATGATCCGAACTCTGAAAAATATAACCAATTAAATTAAAAAAATAATAATTGCGTAACAACAATCTTACATCTTTGTAATTGGTAATGAAAAACTTGACTGTAGTATCGAACAGTGTGGATGCCAATCCGAAATTACCGGAAGACGATAACATTGAGCAATGCGCGTACCCCATGGAATCGAATTGCAGATGCTTGATGTCCAAGCTATCGTAGATCGTTTGCGCATTTAAGCCACTACCTAGTGAAAAAATAATAGGTCTTCATTAAACAGAATTGATAAAATTGAATTATAATTACCCAATATATGATATAGACGAAGTAAAAGTAGTTTTAGATGAAAGTTGCAGGGACTATTTTTTAAAGTATACTTAAGGAGAACTATGGCCAGAAGCAAAGGTTGCGAGGTTCCTGTCATACGATGCAAATCGTAGAGAAAATGGGCCCCTAGCAGTGTGTACGCATCGGCTGGTGCTTGATCCGTACTCAGCAATTTCGCTCCATACTCCTGATGGCCGTGCAAATAATGGTACGAAAGTGCTGTAACTAAAGCTTTTATGAGTTCCGCGGATAAATTCGCATGTGAACCGCACAGTCTCGACAATTGTAAGGCGCAGATATGTCTTTGCATTTGTTGTTCCTAAAAAAAAGTAATACGTTAGAGTTTTTTTTTTTTCTTAATATTTCATTGTATTATATATACTGTTTGTGGTATGTTCGTCGAAGTAATCCCCACTTCTCTGATCAGTTTTCCCGCCATCTCTAGCCTTCGCTCGCCATCCAACAGCTCAAGATATTCACGTAAATCCGACACGCAACAAGGTTTGTGTCCGAATTTACGAAAATATTCAATGAACAATTCCATGGGGTCTCCCAGGAGACATTCGGCCGACTCGTCCCCCTTGTTCAGCTCCCTCATTTGCTTGCAAAGTTCGAATCTTGCTAGATAGGGACCGCGCATCAGAAATCCGTTATCGGATCCGTTCTCAACCAATTTACAAATAAACTCGTGCGCTTTCTCTGGCGTATCATCTACAACGTCCAGGTCGGGCACGTCGGCGAGATCTTGCTGATGATTATTCGAATGGTTGTTTGATATGTATAATTCGAAAACGGATTTCAGATAGCTCAACCAAATCTGCCATCGATCCACGCTACAACAAACAACATTTACATTTCCAGTTACACTATTACTATTCCTCTCTTTACCTTTCCGATAATATTTTCTTACATAAAACGTTAATATCCGGCCAGCGGTTTAAATGCTTTAAGTACACCAGACGAAGCTGCGGCAAATCTCCAGACAATTTCGTCCCAAAGTTGCTGTCCAGCACTTCCAAAACTTTATCATACTTTTCTTGCGCCTCCAGCACCATAATGTACAACTGTACCTCCTGTTCTGCTTCCAATTTGTTTTCCTGTATTAATTTATCTATCATTCTCTCAGCCAGTGATAACAGAAGTGATTTCTTTTTTGGGTGGTCCACACCTTCACCTCTGATAGCTAAAAAAAATCAATGAACAATTTTTCCAGAGACCACTTAAATAAATTTACCTTGGAGTAATGCACTCATCACAGCCCAGCAGTAATAAGGATTCTTAGGGACCAGTTTATACAAAGCCATGGCAGCTTTCTGCTGCTGCTTGAAATCAGAAGACCTAACATAAGACATAAATAGATGTGTATGAAGTTCTTCATTGGTTGGGTCCACTTTCAGTGCTACCTCATACAGCTGGCTGACTTTTTCAACTAAAATGAACAGCATTATTACATATTTTATTTTTGTTAGCACATTGACTTACGCTGCTGCAACTCCCTATAACACATGGTCATTACTTGCAGAATTGCATCATCAGCAAGTTGCTTCTCAGTTAATGAATCCAATATAGTTATGCAAGAGGACTCCTTGCCTGACCGAAGTAATGACAAAGCTTTTAATGCTAATGCCCTGTCCAAGTTAGGACTCTTCTTTAGAACTTTATCACATTCTTGAATGGCTTTTTTGTAGTTTCCTGCATCCAACCAATCTGCAATAATCGTAAGCATTTAATATTTTTATTGAAAGACAGTGCAGTAACTATCTATAAGAAAAAGACGCTACTCTATAAGTTAACCTAGTTTCATTACTAACTCTTCATATCATATGTTTCTATATAAAACTATTAATTCAAAAGCAATCAGTAAGATGTTTGCACCATTTGTCTTACCGTAGATGGGTCGCAGTCGCCTCTCCAACACGCAACTGTCCTGCACATGTGCCCCCTTATAAGACATTTCGAATTGTAAATCTTAACCTAAACACAGCTCAGATGCATTTAAAGTCCGGCGAGAAATCGAGTCAACACTTATCGAAAGTGTCTATGTACGTCGACAATTGCTGTTCGTTTCTCACCACTGCAGCATTTACGAGTCGGGGCTATAACTCTATAACTTTAAGCCAAAAAAAATAAGAAAATTGATTTTGACAGACCCAAATTTAGTGCGGCAGTTTGAGTTATTTGTAGGGGATTAATCAGCTAGGCTACCCTCAATGACCATACTATGGCGCCATCTTAACATACTTTATAATAGCATCGTTCAAGTATTTACATAATGCAAGTCATTATTATTATCCAACTCCGAAATTTAAAGAATAGTATTTGCATACAACATATAAATCTGTTATAAAATGTTCTTGGTTTATTGTTATATTGGGACTGATTGGGACATTGGATATAAGCCTTGTTTTAGGAGTGAGTAATGTATGTGTGGCAAAAATAGAAAATATTTATGTTAAATTTAAAAAAATCTTTATTTTATTCTTTTAATAACTTTATAATTCTTGTACTGAATTGTCCACAATTTGAATGAAGCCTATGGAACCTATAAAACAAATAAAAAAATACATAAGTAATAATTCCAACTGTGCTTAAAAGATATAACAAATATGAATAATCAGGATGTCAGTGTTCTCAGCAAGGTGTATATTGGGTAACCTCAGATGAGGGAGCCTGACAGTAAAATCATCATTTGTTAATCAACTTAAAACAAAAATTTATATTAGAATTTTATTAACACACACCTCATATATCATATATAATTTCTATAATCCAGTAGAGTTGAATTATCTTTCCAAAACTTTTCTTCTTTCCATCCTCCTCAGACCATGTGCTCTGAACGTAAATTCGCCAGATTCAAGCACATCTTTGATGCAATGATTGTAATCCAATTTTAAGCATAAGAATGCTTATTTTAGATTCTGCAAAGAAAAAATATATCTGTTTTAGTTAAATTTCACAATACACACAATAAATAAAATTTGTTAAGAGTAAAGAATTATCAGCATGTCAGTGTTCACAGCATGGTTTTTATTGGGTAACCTCAGATGAGGGAGCCTGACAAATAAATCATCATAGAAATTTACGTTAATAATAATTATAGCAATAGTTACTTAATAAACTACTTAGAAATAATTTATTTTAATAATACATTGATGTGTTTTCTTTTGGAAGTTATTAATTAAAATATTGATATTTACCTAGTTCACATGATGTCTGTAGATTTCTTTCACCTCCTATCAAAAATACTGACGATCTCAACCAAATTAAGCATAGATGTGAAAAGAGTTTTGCTGACGCTACCCCAGCCTATTATAATGTAAGCCTAATGTTGGCAATACTGATTCCAGTTGGAAAACACGAAGCGCGTATTACAAATTTTTATATACAGGATCTAATGCAGTGGAGGTATGATAAGCACCGAAAAGCTGAGATCTTTCGCTTAAATTGTGGCCAATTAAAAATAGTGAATAACATTTAAATTGACTAACATTTAATTTAAATATATAAGAGGAAATTTTATAAATATAAATAATTGAACAAAACTTTGTTGCGAATTATTTAATCTGCTGTATTTAAGTTTAATGTGTTCTGTCCTAATTACTTAAAAAAATAAAATTTGTGATTTTTTTTTATAACACTGCTAAGAGTTTTACTCCTATTCCTCGCTTCGATACATGGTAAAAGCTGTCATAGGTTGAGAAACGCTGCTCTATATAAAACAAAGGATAATTACAAGTATTTAATTAATGTTAAGTTATATGTTATAGTTTTATATAATTGCTAAAGTTAATTTAAGGGTATAATAGGATAACGGATGAATACAATTCAGGTTTAATGAATTACAATAAATTCAACAAACAGTATATCTTTTATTTAAAAATGTTATAAATTGACACTGGACGTAACTTAATTTTTTTGGTGACATTCAGCGATAGTCTTAAAAATTAAGAAAAAATGTTATTGGCACAACATTTCTTATTACATATTTATTTAAAAGTAAATATAAGAATATAAATTATTTTATAATGTACAAACAATAATTAAATAATAATTTCGTTTTTTTTTTTTCGAATGTCTGGCCTCTTATGCGAAATCGTACTCCTGACGGTATCTTTGCGTCACGTACTGTGGCCTTCTTTGCTGGAGCGAAATGTTCACCTCCTCGGGAGACCTGAAAACCTGTTGACCATCGTTGTACGCGTCCTGCTGGGCATATTTGACGGTACTCTGTTTAGGAGGTTGTTGCTGCTGTTGCAATCCAACGCGGATCTGAAATTGTTAAATTAGTATATGCGTGTTAGCGAATGATTGTCGCGTTGGGACTTACAGGTTTCTTTTGTTGATGATGGTATTGATGTCCGTCTTCGTTGTCTTCTTCGTATTGGTTGTAACCGGTGTATTGTTCAGGGTAGTACCTGTCGGAGTATTTCAAGGAAACGTTCGGCTTCGATTGATGCTCTTCAAGGTTCAGAGGTTTGTAGAGATAGTCGTTGACGAAGTGGAATTGGGAAGACTTTTCGCAGATGTTGTCGCCGCTCGGTGGCATGCAAATCAGATGGACCTGAAAACGTAACATTATTAGATTGACTTTGTTATGATTTTTTGGGTTTCAGTACTTGATGGAATGTAAACCCTTCTGGGCAGATCCAGGAGTGCTTCGCATTTTCTTGACAGTAATGGAAAACTTCGCAGCCCAGGTTTTCGTCGGCGTAGTATCCAGTTTTCTTTCCAACGCAATCGAATTTGGATTGAGCTAAAAGTACGGTCAAACGGTCGGGTTCCTCCTCTTCTTCCTCAACCTCTTCCTCTTTTCCCTTCACTTTGGAATTCGATTGCTTCTCGTAGTTTGGCTTCGGCACATACTCCTGCTGCACCTTCCTGACAGGTTGCGGCCGTTGCTGCACCCGAACGACGGGGATTACGTTCTGCAGGTACGCTTCGTTCGCGTACACCGGCCTTTGTTGCTGGGTAGAAGCCAAGCTGATGTCATCTTCGTGATCGTCTTCGTCCTCCTCGTAAGCCAGGGTCGGCCTGAAAGGTGAAGGAGACGTTGGGCCAAAGCCTCTATTCTGCAGATGTCTGATCTCCTCGGCGGAGAGCTTCGTGAAGTTCGGTAGTTGCGTGACGTGCTGGGGAAGGGCAACGACGCACACCAGCACGCACTGCAGACATATCAAAGCAAGCTTCATCCTGAAATCAAAATATGCGCATGCATTAACTCCGCATATTCGAACGGGTTTTATGTAAGAGATGAAAATAATTACACTTTCACTGCCTACATCTGAGTGTCTCTTTTATTGTATGATTCTACGAAAGTGGATCGCCGGCTACACCTCATTTCTGTATCCAATGCAGCTTTAGACTTAAGAAAGCAGCGAACGACCTCCACTCATTTAAACAAATATTCTTACAACTCTAATTGATCAGGATATTACTATAATGTATATTTATGTAATACACTTTGCGCGCCAAACCACCTTCATTTCCTACAAATTCGTTTTTCATTGTTTTATTTGACTTACACTAATGAATGCGATAATCGATCGCTCACGTAATCGCTCATGCACAATTCATATAGAAATTTAATAATTAAATTACATTAATATTTCTTAATAGATTCTTTAAGAATGTTGTTTTTTTAATTACCCAAAATCCATCATTATCCACAATCTACTAATGTACTACTTTATGTAAATATAAAGTTAACAAAGCGTAGAATATGTAATCATTAAAACAGTTGAGATTTAACGAAGTATATAATAATACCATAAACTAATAAATGGACCGAATGATTTTATCGTGATGATTAACTTTACTATAAAGACATTCGTATAATCAACTTGCATTACTAATATTATCATTACTTCAGATATCCACAATCTAAGTTTGCATCTGGATATTCTGATAATGTCAATATTGACATTTTTTTGACATAAGTCATCAATATGTATAAACAGTAAAATAGAAGATATGATTCAAAAATATAACTATAAATATTATAAACCTCTTCTATAACAATACGTTTGTAGAACATCAACTAAGTGAAAATAGGTTATTTGCGTTTTGCAGCTAGGACAGATGTCAGTATTAAAGAAAAACATTGTATAACTCTGCTTGGTGGTTATTGTAAATTTTCAAATCAACTTTCACCGTTCAATGAAATTTCTAAAATTTCCTTTTATTTTCTAAAATATGAATCTCAACGAAAAACCAGTTGAAGTGTAAACAAATATACATTTGCTGCCAATTAATAATATAATGACTGTTTTAGTATGTGTAAATAATTATTTTTTTTTTAATTGGTTCCAGTGACTTTCACTTATGAATCAAATTTCTCAAAAGCGAATTACAGGTTTATCACTTCGGTGGAATTAAATTAAAAAAAAAAGAAAAGCGAGTCGAATTCGTTGCTCTGCTGTTTCAGTGAGCACAAATCGAGCGAAAGAGAAAGAGTTTGTCTCCGCTTAAGTTTTCACTTTCAGCAATAATTTAAAAAAAAATGTATGCACATATTAAACTTAATTTAATTTAATATCTTCACTGATTTGCATTATTACAGAGATTTGTTTACGCATTTTACACACATTGGAGATGATTGTATATCTTTTCATATTTATATTACTGTTGCAAAAGGTTATGTGTTAGTCATGGGACCTTATAAGTATTTTTTTCTTGATGTTGTTGTAACATTAATTTTACAAATGCCAAAAGTTCAAACGTTTGATTAAGTATGTAGTAATTGTGTGTGTGCATTTGACTTCTGTAGTTGGTTTCGGTGAAAGTCGTATATAATTGATGGACTTCTCTAGGTCACCGTTAAATATTAATATTACTATTAATCAATACATTAGATGTTTTGCTAATATATAACAAACAGTTTAATATCTAACATTTAACTACAATAACCGTTAATAATAAATTAATAAGTGCAATTTAAAAATAGAGAAATAAGAGCACTGCTGGTGTAGTGGTATCATGCAAGATTCCCATTCTTGCGACTCGGGTTCGATTCCCGGGCAGTGCAATCTTTTTTGCTCCTGCCAATTGACTATCTACTTTCTAATACGTAACGTCGCGTTCGACGTAACTGGTCAGTTGAATCGACCGTCGATTGGAACTTGGTTTCGTCGGGTTCAAATCCAATACTGTCAAATATTTCTATGATCTTCAATTCAATTGTGTATTGTGACAGATTATGCAATTTCATGAATCTGTCACCTTAATTTCTGCTTTCATAATATGCAGTGGGTGCAGTATTAGATCACACACAATAAGAATATCCCACGTAAATTCAACAATCCTTTGTCTCTTCTTGATGTGTGAAGTTTAAAGTGTTTAATTTTAGAAATTTTATTTTATAACTTATCAATTAAATTTCACTCGAATGCGGGTAAATTATCGTTTAAAATATGTATCTCTAAAGCATTTAACGATTTCTTCTATAGGAATTTATAGACTATAGCAATTTATTGACTAAAACCAATTAAATTAATTTGTTTTCACAAAGCTAACTTCAATATAAACACTTTTATATTCAGATCTGATAATAACGTAATGGAATTTTCCAGTTTTTATTTAGTACAAGCAAATCTCTTTAGAAAACTTTCTGTTTTGTAAGAGAACCGAAAGTGTTTATTAATTATTCGAAACTATTTTCTACCAAACGTGAATAGCATAGTGGTTTAACCAAGAAAGTTAATACAGTTAACATCTTTAAGAATAGCGTTTTTCAATTGCAAAATGACAGTTGTCACCTTCTGTCAAAGAACATAACAATTCTTAGAAATTAGCTCGTTGTACAACTACGAACAAATATATTGGGTAAAAAGATGAAAAATAAACTGAAGCAAATATTTTCTTTTTCCATTTTTAATGAAATTCGTTAATTAATTGCATTATTCAAATAATTGTAAATAAAACAGTCAAGAACTTTGTAAAAGATCAAAGATGCTCCATGTCATAATTAACAACCTTGCATTCTCCTTATAACACTAATCGCAGAAATTGCGCAATTGTGGAAATGCGTATGAATTACTGGAAGGGAAAACAAGACTGCGATCTGCTTGAAAGATGAAAACAGATGTTACGTATTGAATTGGATCAATCGTTTAGTTCCCCATTTGGAACACCATTAATTGCTGACAGACTGCTGAAACGTTTAGCAGATAAAAAAAAATGTATATAATCCCGTTTTCCGAGAGGTTATATCACTATTAGTTTTGTTGATAGGACCTGGAGATCAGGAAATATATATGTATATATAAATTGCAGAACATTAAGGAAATCTAATTTATTGGGAGAATAAATAATTACGTTATTTCGTGCACTTTGTGTGCGGAATGCCCTGTTACATTCTTCAGGTATATCTAGCGTGCTATTAAAATAACAATTACGTTATGGATGACTTGCTTCTGCTGCTTAAGGTAATTTCGTATGTGTATGTGTACTTTTAAATAGTTTAAATTTGGAAAAGCTTTATATTTCAAAGTATGTCTTATGCAATAACGAATATAGACAGGTCAGGTAGTTATTTTTCGTTATAACTCATCACAGTGCAAATTTTATATCATACTTGACAACAGAAACGTCAAGTTGTATCGATTGACATGTCAAGTAGATATTATGAAGTAATACATATTTTTTAAAGATATTTAAGAGGAAAACTTTATTTACTCTTGTTTTAAAGTCTATCTTATGTAATATGGAACAGGTAAGATATTTCATTTCGTCATCCCAGTTCTAAATTAGCAACATACTTGATAGTAGAAACGTCAAGTAGTGTCAATTGAAATGTCAACTAGATATTGTGATATAATTAATATTTTTTAAAGGCAATTTGATCTTGTTTTATACTAATAGTTTTGTATATTAAATTTTATAACTTTGAGCAAGAAATTGTCGATTGGGAACAAAAATAGAGAATTGTAATATAATTGATACTTAATGTTTATTATTTTGAAGTATAGTCTGTTAAACCTAGGTCGACAGGAATGTTGTATATTACTGTTTCTCGCGTTAAAATAAACGTTTCTGTTGTGCAAATGTAAATAGGAATGGCAAGTGTTGGACGAGGAAATAAAAATGTTTAGAAACCAAGAAATGGAGAGTGAAGGATCGGGGCTGTATGTGTGCCAAAAAATGAATGGGTAAGTGGACATACGGTGGAAATGAAAGTGCAGAGATGGTGAAAAGCCCGCATGCCATATGATACGGATCTCCTCTACAACTATATGCATACGTACTGAAAGAGATTCGTTCATTCAGGTATACGAAAAGACGATCACGAGGATTCGTGTAAAATGGATGATGGCCCAAGTAGGTTATTGCTTCTTTACGACTTGCTCTTTCATTTCTCCGTATCGGCCTTCGACGAAGAAGATTGCTCGTCCGACCTTAACATCTGACCAGAATAGAAAATCCATCTCCTCAACCTTGACTTTTCTCTTACCTGCAATAGTTTGGATCGCTTCGTTGCTTCATTACAGAGAAAACGGCAATAGAGAGAAGAAAAAACAAATAATCTCAGATTGGATGAATTACAAATTAACGTGAAATGGCAGTAAAAATGGTTCATCCGATCCGATTCGACAAATATTAAAGTCGTGCGCAGAAAAATCGTTGTGAAACTGTTATCGTTTCGTTAAAATCACTACAGTTTGATTAGTATTTTTTTCTTCTTGCTCGATTGTCTTAGTCAATGCGTGTGCGAAATGCAATTTGAGTCACGTAAATTCATTCATGACTTATTAGTCTGAGCCTTCGTAATGTAATGTAATTTACGGTCTTATTCTTTACGAATGTTAAAAAGAAAGGCGTCTCGATGGAAATACTAATGAAGGAGGGAAATAAAAAGTTCTCATCGGCGGCAACTAATCATCATTATTTTCTGCAATTATTATATAATCAGACATAAATTACGACCGCTTGCAACATCGAATGCGATTTATTATATTTACTAATTTGATAATGCATTTTCATTTCGAAACTGCTGAAACAATAGAAGAAACTTCACATTCCAAATATAAGACACTTCTATTTCCTTCATTCACTAATCCAATCATATTTAAAATTCATATTACAAAATTTATTAAAAAAATTTGTATAATTTTGTATAATGTAAAATTTGGATATTATTAATATTTTTTCTCATTATTCTGAGTTTTAAGATAGTACAGCATACCTCAAATAGTGGGGTTTCGATTAGGACGGATTTGCTATAGTACGGTTTGAAAATGTCAAAAAGAAACTAAATTTAAAAATATAATCCAAAAAAAAAATAGTACACAAAATTATATATTTTTTTTCTTTGTACGGTTTATTTTTACATATATTTAATTTCTCGATTAGTACGGTTTCAAATAGTCCGGGATTATTATTGATTGTTTACCCGCACTATTCGAGATATTGCTGCATTAGATTGCAGAAAAATATTGAATTGTAAAATTAAACTTTTAGTCTTGATATTACCTCAAATCTCCACCAAATAAACGTTGTTGCTATTTATAAAAAAATTAGTTCTCTCCAATTTTATTTGTCTGTTTTCTGAGTAATTTCCTACAACACTTTAATAGTTAAAAGAATGAAAATCTTAAATATCTACGTAATAATTATTACTTATTGCAGAGATACCTATTTTCTTAGACCTTAAGTATCAATTACTTGCTAGTATTTATTTCATGTATACTATACACTTTATAACATTGATTTGACAGGAATGAAATTAGTATTGTACAATCTAATTAATTTTAATGGACTTATATATAAATTCTACACATTTACCAGTTAAAAAATTCTTCACATCTAAAGTTTATAATGATCTCAATTAAATTTTATTTACCTCGCTGTGTTTATTTTTTTCTTCGATCGATTTACTATTTCGATTGCAGCTGTGCACTTCACTACAAATGTTCAAATCTGTTGTTGAACGTATTAGATTTTTTTGTTTTTGTTGTTTTTTGTTATTTAACAAATTGTAAGCCAACACATGCACCGGACTGATCGAAGGAACTTATGGATGGATTCTTTTTATCGATTCTCGTGAAAGTCCCCCCATCAGCGTGGGGATCGAAAATTCGCTTCCCCACCTCGCTACGATTGCTGCGAAAGATCTGTAACCATTTCTTCTCCATATTTAAAACCAGACACTTCGCAAGAAAGTACGTAAATGGAGATTTCCTCTCTTATATAAAATTACGGCCTGGTTAGTCCGCATTTCCAGAAAGTGAATTTACGTGTTATGGAAATTGTATATAAAAACGATATTGAAAATATTGCGAATTATTGAATTCAATTATGAACGATTTATAACAAAAAATAAACTTTCAAATCCGTGCATTTTTTTTTTGCTGTTATACTACAGCAATACCTTGCATAGTCCTGGATAATCAGTTCCAATAATATCCCGGACTATTTGAAACAGGAATAATCAAAGAACTATGAATACAAAAATAGTAAATCTGGACTGATCGAATCCGAACTATGCTATCGCTGTATATACAAGAAATTTATTGTTTAATTCATATTTACGATTATTTTGAATCGAGTATGTAATCAAATACAGTAATCCTACTACAGAAGCTTACTTTGTTTTCAATTGCGGTCAGACATTTTGAGTATTCCTTGGGGCGATTTGTATACGTACGTTGTATTTAATTACAACGTTAAAATTAAATGTATCTAGTATTAAACTAGTACAAATTTATATTTAAATGAAAATGCGTATAAAGCAAATTACATTTTAAACCAGTGATTTCACATTTTAGTGATTTTCTCAAAAACTATAATAGATAGAATGGATTCAAAAGATCCATATAAAAGTTGGATATTTCGGGAATGGAACGTGTGTTCAATTATTACTGTGGTTTTATCTATTTGGTTGTAATTCACTAAAGATGCATATGAAAGTTGGAAAATTGAGGAATTCAACTTTGTCTACAATTCACTTTTAGATATGAAAATTTAGATATATGGGGAATGGAACGTGTGTCCAATTATTACTGTAGTTTTATCTATTTGGTTGTAATTCATAAAAGATGCAAATGAAAGTTGGAAAATTGGGTAATTCAACGTTTGGCTACAATTCACTTTTAAATATGAAATTATGAAAAATCAACGCTTAAAAAGCAGTTATTTTCTCAGAAACTATAATAGATAGAATGGATCCAAAAGATCCATATAAAAGTTGGATATTTCGGGAATGGAACGTGTGTTCAATTATTACTGTAGTTTTATCTATTTGGTTGTAATTCACAAAAGATGCATATGAAAGTTGAAAAATTGGGGAATTCAACGTTTGGTTACAATTCACTTTTAAATATTAAATTATGAAAAATCAACGCTCGAAAAATCAGTTATTTTCTCAGAAACTATTAGAGATGGAATGGATCTAAAATATCCATATAAAATTTGGATATTTGGGGAATGAAACGTGTGTTCAATTATTACTGTAGTTTTATCTATTTTATTCAGTTTTAAAGATGAAATTATGATAAATTAACGCTCGAAAAAGCATTTATTTTCTCAAAAACTATAATAGATAGAATGTATTAAAAAGATGCATATGATAGTTGGATATTTGGGGAATGTAGAGAATATTCACACATTGCTGTGGTTTCATACATTTGCCTATAATTCAGATTCAAATATGAAAAGAACTAACACTGTTGAAATAATTGAAGAGATTTGAAAAGATTAGTCATTTATTTAAAATATTCCAAATAATTGTTATGTAGAACATCATCAATGCGTCAATTTCACTAACATATTCATGGCACAGAATGGAAAGGATTAACGAAATTTCTATTTCCACAACAAAAAAAAAATATAATACATAAACAACAAGTTTATAAGTAAATTTAATAAACATGAGTTATTATGACATTTAAGTGCAATCTAAATTTTCTTATTTTGATAAAATTATATATTCATAAAAAAAACAAGCAAAAATATTATAACTTTCTTATATATTTAATAAAAGTTTTTAATCGCAATTTAAATCTGCTTATTTTAACGTAGATTTTAGAAAAAATGCAAATATTTATGTCTTTCTTTATTAATATTTTTTTATTATAGGATTTGTAACACTTCAAGCACAATCAAACTGCGTTTAGATAAACGTCGATTACAGAAGGAAAGAGAAAAAAAAGCGAAAGCTCAAAGGAAAGTGAGTTATAACAAAATTAATTTCAACTTAATCTCTTAGAAAGAAATTAAAAAATATGAACATTATTGATTAATTAATCTAGTTTCCTGCATTCATATTTTATTAAAAAAGATGAATGTTCTCTTATGCGTTTCCATGGTAATTCAGTTGTAAATCTCCATAGCTACAAAAGACAATAAAATTTGCTCCGATTATTAAATTTCACAGCAATCTTTAAGTTATATCATCACTTGAGGTCATTGTAATTTTCTTTTTGATAATCAAACGCGTTTTCTTTTCTTCGGTCTCGATTAAATCTTAATACGATTTTGTATACCGGTTGTATAACCCTATTCAACAATAAATTACCGGGTCGGTTGAATATTTTCTTCTTTTTTTTGTGTGTGTGTGTAAATTTTATGAGTCATTTGCGCTGGGCGGGGCAGATCGGATTCGTAACTTGAATTTCGCAATTTATCGGAATACATTACGCTCGAACAATGGATTTTCATGCGAAGCAAATAAAAATGTGTTTTATCGGTAACAAGTCAATTTCATTCATGATTAAAAGCGTAGAGCAGATATGTTGTTTTACCCAGAAGTTTCCGTTCCTCGCTCAGATTGCTCTATGATTTGATCAATTGTAAGTTTTATAATTGTTGTACAAAGATATTTGTAATTTCGTTTGACTTTTTTTTTGTTAATAAGGATTAGATAGTTAGGTAAATGTAAACGAGAAGAAACGACACTTCTTTATGTTGTTTTTTTTTGTTATGGTAAAATGTCTTCGAGCATAATTTATTTCCAATTAAATTTATGCTCATGGGTGAACACGTCAGACGTTGAAAGTTGATTGTGCACAGACCTTTTAATCTGTGCAACTCGTTTAAACACAATTTGTCATTCATACTTCCAATTCATAAATAAACCTCGTCCAATAATTCCTTTTTTTGACACTTCCAACATTCATTTCATTTCTTTTGCAACTTTGAAACACTAAAATTCATCATTCTTTTTTGCAAATCAAAAACTTAAACAATTATTTACTTTTTTAACAATATTTCTTTAATTTGAAACTGTTAAAATTCTCCTTTCTTCCAAATCAAAAACTGAAATAATTCTTTATTTTCCTGCATTAATTTCGTTCTTCTGAGACCATTAAAATTCTCGTTTCTTTTAAATAAATTTATCATTCTTGTTAGTAAATAATTTAGTAATTAAAATCCACTAAAATTTATCATTCCTTCTTTCAAATTAAAAACGCATAAAAATCCTTATTTTTTGACAATTACTTTCATTCTCGTCAGTAAATATTTTTTTCAATTGTAAACCACCAAAATTCACAATTCTTTCTCTCAAATCAAAAACTCAGATCAATTCCAGCATAAATTTTGTTCTCGTTAGTAAGAATTATTTTGCAATTTTGAAACCGCTAAGTAAAATTTACTTATGAACCATTGAGCGGAACTCATTTATTTTGTTGTCGTTTGTTTTTTTTTTTGTATAGAAAGTTTAAAATACTTTATGCGCATTACTAATTTACAAAAAATTGTTAATCCTAATAAGCAGTTTACTTTTCCAATTAAATTGTCGTGACAATGGTAACATTTAGAAATTGGTAGGTATTGGCGGAGTGCAATTAATCTTGAACAAGGTCGAGTGTATCCTAAAACTCAGACCCGGATATTTGTAAATCCAGTTCACTATTATTCACCATTCTTTATAGGTATAGTAGGTATGACTGCCTCGATAAATGCTAAAAATACAGCCATGCCTCTATTAACAAAGAGTCAGGTAACGTTAAACGAGGTATGATTATATTATGTCTACAAGAAAGGTGAAAATATGAGAGTTTACTTTTAATGTTTAAAAATTTCATAAACGCATTTAAACATATATACAACTCAATTTTTAGTTCTTTTTTTTCTACGATCATTTTGAAAATGTCAAATATTTGACACATGAATATGATATATGTATGTATGACTGTTTTATGTCTACAAGAATGATGAATATAAGAGACTTTTCTTTATTATATTCTTTTAGTGTTTAAGAATTTCATGAAGGAATGTTTAAATTCAACTCAATTTTTAGTACTTTTTTTTCTACAATTATTTTGAAAATGTCATATATTTGACACATGAATATGATAGGTAATATATATATTTGTTTTAAACTAAGAAGTCAAAATACAGTCATGCTTCTATTAACAAATAGGTTGTTATCATTATGTTATCAGACGTAATGTTAACCGAGGTATGACTGTTTTATGTCTACAAGAACGATGAAAATAAGAGACTTTTTTTTATTATATTCTTTTAATGTTTAAGAATTTCATGAAGGAATGTTTAAATACATCAAAAGTTTTAGTTCCTTCTTTCTACGATCATTTTGAAAATGTCAAATATTTGACACATGAATATGATAAACAATTTATGTATTTTTTTTTAAACTGAGAGGTCAAAATACAGTACAGATGTCAAATACATTAACAAATAGAATGAATTCTACGAAATTTATTTGTTATCGTTTTGCATTTCATGAAGGAATGTTTAAATACAACACAATTTTTAGTTCTTTTTTTCTACAATTATTTTGAAAATGTCAAATATTTGACACATGAATATGATAGGTAATATGTTTGTTTTAAACTGAGAAGTCAAAATACAGTCATGCCTCTATTAACAAATAGGTTGTTATCATTATGTTATCAGAGGTAATGTTAACCGAGGTATGACTGTTTTATGTCTACAAGAAAGATGAAAATAAGAGAGTTTTTTTTTATTATATTCTTTTAATGTTCAAGAATTTCATGAAGGAATGTTTAAATGCATCAAAAGATTTAGTTCCTTCTTTCTACGATCATT